AATGAACAACAACAAAGAATATAGATTTATGTTTGGCCACCAAAGAAATGTGGAGGCTGCTGAAATAAAAAGCAATTTCTGGGTGCATTTTGAAAAAAGAGATCACATGAGGCCCAGAAGACTCAGAATGGTTTATTTAGCACAGCAAGCTAACTGCCAGCTGTAGTAAATCTTGCCAATCAAAAAGCTGACAGTTCAAGCCCGAGTTGGGGTGAGCTTCTGGCCGTCAGCCCAACTTCTGCCCACCTAGCAGATCGAAAACCGAAATGTCAGTAGATAAATACGTACTGCTTTAAAAGCAAGGAGGCAACAAAGGCGCCCATAAAGGACATACTGACAATTTGATCAGGAGGCGTTTACAAGGTGGCGTCAAACTACAAGAAAGAGGATTCCATCTGAACATTAGGAAGAACTTCCTGACTGTGAGAGCTGTTCAGCAGTGGAACTCTCTGCCCCGGAGTGTGGTGGAGGCTCCTTCTTTGGAAACTTTTAAACAGAGGCTGGATGGCCATCTGTTAGGGGTGCTTTGAATACAATATTCCTGCTTCTTGGCAGGGGGTTGGACTGGATGGCCCATGAGGTCTCTTCCAACTCTGTGATTCTATGATCGGGAAGTGTAGACTTGGCACTTCCATACAGCCATATAACCCAGAATATCAAGGCACATAGACGCCTCCAAGGTCATGTGGCCCGCATGACTTCATGAAGCGCTGTTACCTTACCGCAGAAGCAGTACCTAGATCTAGTTACATTCACATGTTACCTTACCCAGAAGTGGTACCTATTGATCTACTTACATTCACAAGTTTCCTTCCCGCGGAAGCAGTACCTATTGATCTACTTACATTCACATGTTACCTTCCCGCAGAAGCGGTACCTATTGATCTACTTACATTCACAAGTTTCCTTCCTGCAGAAGCAGTACCTATTGATCTACTCACATTTACAAGTTTTCAAACTGCTAGGTTGGCAGGAGCTGGGGCAAACAGCGTGTGCTCACCCCATTCCCCGGATTCGAACCGCTGACATTTGGTCAGGTAGTTCAGCAGCTCAGTGCCACTGGGGGCTATCAGAGGGGTAGATTAGATTTTCTCACTTCCTATTCATAACTATAAGTCGTCCGTAAGTCGGGTGTTTGTACTGTTTCTATTGCTTGTAGATCCAACTCTCCCCCCACCACCATCTTTCAGTAGTCGGGCTTTGAATACAATTTTAAATGCAAGCCTTGACACGTGTCTACTCAGAGCTGAGTCCCAGGGTGTTCACGTGTACTCACTCCCAGGGAAGTGGGGCCAGGGTGGCATCCTTCTCCAAAATAAAAAGGGGGCGACGATGCTCCTTTTGTGCAGAGCTGGAGACTGAGGTAGGTATGATGACCTGTCAAAGGTCATCATAGGTAGGTATGATGACCTGTCAAAGGCTCAGGGATCCTGGGAGATGAGGTTTGGCAAGGTCTTGGTCCTTGTTGAACGCAACTGCAGCTCATAGCATCCTGTGGCAAGGAAGCGGTGCATTGGAAGGGCTGAGTGTCAAGGAGCATTCCTTCCGCCATGTAGATGTAACCGGGGCCAATCTCTCTGTGCCCGCCCCGCGCTCCTCCTCCTCCTCCTTCCCGGGTGGCGATGGCGGGGCCCTCTTTCCTGCGCTCCTTCCCGGGCTTCCTGATGCAGTCTGCGGGCGCCCTGGGGGTCCAAGGCGGCCGCCCGCTCTGCTGCAGCTCGGGCCTGGGCCCGGTGTCGCCGGCTCTGCTGCGCTCGGGAGGCTTCGTGCGGGGCCGCTGGCTGCAAGCCGGAGCCTCGTTCCCCGTGCGGGACCCCGGCAGCGGCGCCGAGTTGGGCCGGGTGGCCGACTGCGGGGCGGAGGAGGCCCGGGCCGCCGTGCAGGCCGCATACGAGGCCGGGCCCGCTTGGAGCAGAACCACCGCCAAGGTGAGAGGCAGGCAGGGAGGAGGAGAAGGAGGAGGAGGAAGGCTGGGACTTCTCTTGCTGCTGGAGCCCACTTGAGCTGCCATGGCTCAAGACTGGGAGCTGCTGCACTCTCCAGCTGCATTCACTCCACAATCATGAGCCTTGTTTATGTTATTTCCGGCATTTCTATCCCCTTCCTTCTCAACCCCCGAAGGGAGACTCAGGACGGCTTACAAGCAATATAATAACAATTAAAACAAGAAGTAAAACATTCATTAAAACAGTAAAAAACAGTATTAATAGCCGTATCACCATTCCAGTCCATTCCATACCCAAGTGCTATCTCTATCTGTTATCCAAAGGCCTAGTCCCAGAACCACAACTTCAATTTCTTCCTAAATGACAGGAGGGACAGAGCTGATCTTACCACAGTGGGAAGCATGTTCCAGAGGCGGGGGCCACAACTGAGAAGGCCCTGTCTCTCGTCCCCGCCAGACGTATTTGCAACGCTGGCGGAAGTGAGAGCAGGGCCTTACCGGATGATCTGAAACTGTGAGGCGAGACGTAGAGGGAGATGCATTCAGACAAGTAAGCTGGGCCAGAACCGTATAGGGCATTATAGGTCAACGTGGCTATTCCAGATGTTCAACTGGTCCAATGCACTTTGAATTGAGCTCGGAAGTGGACCAGCAGCCAGTGGAGCTGACATAACAAGGGGGTGGTATGCTCCTTGTATGTCACTCCAGTTAGCAATCTGGCTGCCACTTGTTGGACTAGTTGTAATTTCTGAACAGTCTTCAAAGGCAGCGCCATGTAGAGTGTGTTTGTGCTGGTACAGCTGTACCAGAAGCTCCTATTTTGTTTGCTTTGCAGTTAATGTTTGTTTGCAATCCCAGGCTTGGGATTTTGCAGCAGGGTGGCTTCCTATTATAGGCTGCAATCATAGGGTAAGCCACCTGCCAATTATAGTTAGGTTCCCTGGTCCCGCCCCTTTTTGAGTTTTTGGAGGGAAGGGGCCATTTTTCAGTCAGTCACACAAGGAAGCCAGTCTATAGGACGCAGATCAGCTAGTCCCGTAGGAAAGGCTTCATTCCTCAAAACCTTCCGGGGAAATAGAAATAGCCATCCGGGGATCATCCAAAGGTGATCTGGGGTCCATCCAGCGACCATCCAGGGGTCATCCAGTGACCATCCAGTTCCAGGGAAACAGAAGGAAAAGGTCCCAAAGGCTCTGGCTGAAAGCTCACAGCCTCTCAGCCTCACAGCACCAGAGGGGAAAACAGCCCTGAAGTTTCCACAGGACATCACTGCAGAACCTCAGAATTCCAGCAAAACATCTTCTAGCTTCGTCTGGTAGGTTACTCGGTTTCCAGACGCATTTGGGGATCGGCAGTTTTACCCAGACCAGTGAGGCCTAGGTGATGGATGGCCTGGGAGAGATTACAAAGGGTTCTTCTTCATGTTAAGATAGTACAGTTAAACCAAGTTAGTGCCAGTCTCTTAAAGACTTGAATAGTAAAGCCTTGAAGTTGTTTGAAGATTTGTTCCTTAATAAAGACTTTTTTGTACCTTTAAAGAACTCTAAAGCCCATTACTTCTGGAAGTCTCTAACAATCTCTCTTCGGGCACCCCGGCTTCCCACTGGGTTTAAAGTGTGCGTTCTATAGAATAAAGACTTTTTGTTCGGACCCAGTGGCGACAGAACAGCGTTGCAGTAATCTATTCGGGATGTAACAAGAACGTGGACCACTGTAGCCAGATCAGACTTCCCAAGGTACAGGCACACAAGCTTTAACTGTGCAAAAGCTCCCCTGGCCACCTCCTGGGGTTCCAGGCTCAGCGATGAATCCAGGATCACTCTCAAGCTCCTAAAGTCTTGTCTTGTATCTATGGCAGGCATCCTCAGAGGTTGTGAAGTTGTTGTGTATTGTCAAAGGCTTTCTTGGCCAGCAAAGCGGTATACCATGCGGCCTGTCAACACATATTGAAACATTCTCTTCTGATGTTTTGCCCACATCTATTTCATTCATCCTCAGAGGTTGCGAGGTCTGTTGGAAACTAGGCAAGTGGGGTTTCTATATCTGTGGAATGTCCAGGCTGGGAGAAAGAACTCTTGTCTTTTGGATGTTGCAATGGGCTACCTTGATTAGAATTAAATATCCTTACAGCTTCAAAGCCTGGCTGCTTCCTGCCTGGGAGATTCTTTGTCAGGAGGTGTTGGGACATGATTCCAAAGATATATAAACCCCATTTGCCTAGTTTCCAACAGAACTCACAACCTCTGAGAATGCATGCCATAGATGTGGGCAAAACGTCAGGAGAGAATGCTTCTGGAACATGGCCGTACAGCCTGGCAATCTCACAGCAACCCTGCATTGTTTTTATTTGTTTGTTTGTTTATTTATTTATTTATTTATTGTCCCGCTTTTTTCCTCCCATGGTTGTGATTCAAAGCAGTGTACAGTGTTAAAAGCAACAAAAATTACAGACATAAAATTAAACAAAAAGCATAATAACTAAACAGATTGCACAATTCCTAGCCCATATAAAACAATTAATCAACTACAACATATGCTATTAAAACATTCCCTGCACCTCCGGCCAGTTAGGATATTCATGCAGCATTTAAGCTATTTATTTATTGTGTCAGAAGCAAATTGAGAACACAGTTATGATGCATAAAAAATCACAAATAAAGTTTAAAACTTGGTGTTATGCTAAATGTCCTTTGACTAGAAGCTGGCCACTTGGAGTACCTCTGATGTAGCTGTGAGAAGGTCCTCCATTATGGATGTGGCAGGGCTCAAGCTGCATTGTAATAGGTGGTCTGTGGTTTGCTCTTCTCCGCACTTGCATGTTGTGGACTCCACTTTGTAACTCAATTTCTTGTGCTCTGCATCTTGTGGTGCCGGACCATAGTCTGTTCAGATCCTTCTAAGTTGCCCAATCTTCTATGTGCCCAGAAGACTGGGCAACTTAGCCACTGATTGAGGTTCCGGGTTTTAGCCTGCCACTTTTGGACTCTCGCTTGCTGAGGTGTTCCTGCAAGTGTCTCTGTAGATATTAGGAAGCTATTTCTTGATTTAAGACATTGGCAAGCTGGCTGATATCCAAACAGAGGATGAGCCGGAAATGTCACTGCCTTGGTCTTTTCATTACAGGTTGATACTTCCCGACGAATATCAGGTGGTGAAATGCATGGTTTCTTCCTTTATTCCACTAATATTCTCTTTGGCCTTACATCTGTGGCCAAAGTATTTGAAAGTATTTTGCATGTAATAGTAATATTGGTCTAGCAGCCATGTTGTTTTCTGTTTGCTTTGTCGTATGATAAAGATATTCACAATAAAACACCATTTCTTTTCCAGGAAAGAAGTGTATTACTTCGTAAATGGTATGATTTGATGATAGAGAACAAGGATGACCTCGCCAGGATCATAACAGCAGAGAATGTGAGTGTGTAAAAAGAGGAGGAAAAACAATCTCCTCTGGGATGGTGGGGACTGAAGTTAAGCTTACTTGTTTGCAAGAGTCTTGTGGAGAAGAAAGGACAAAGCGACTAGTCAATGTAACTCACACATCCAGTCATGTTACTCTTAATGTGAAGAGACTTGACAAGATTTTTGTAAATATAATACAGAAGACTAGTTTTTAAAGTACTAAGAAGGTTTGCAGGGAGTTCCACTCTTAGTACTACAGGGGTGGATGTATTTCTTTGTTTTGAACAGTTTCAACCTGGTTTTCCTGAGCGTAAAATCACTTGCTTGATACTTAAGTAATAATTTATTTGTATCAGACTAGTTATACAGCATGACCCCTGTATCTGCAAGGGAGCTGCTGTGGCGCAAGGGCTTAAACCCTTGTGCCGACTGAACTGCTGACCTGAAGACCTGAAGATCGGCAGTTCGAATCCATGAGACAGAATGAGCTCCCGTCTGTTAGCTCCAGTTCCTTCTGCAGTGGCGCAGTGGGATAAACCCTTGTGCTGCTGAACTGCTAACCTGAAGGTTGGCTGAACTTCTGGCCTGAAGGTCAGCAGTTCAAATCTGCGAGACAGGATAAGATCCCATCTGTCTGCGCCAGTTCCTAGCAGTTCGAAAACATGTAATGTGTGAGTCGATAAATAGGTACCACTTTGGTGGGAAAAGGCAAAGAGACACTCCAAACAATCTTGCCAGCCACAAAATCAGGAGATCACAACGCAGGCTCCTCAGCTTGAAAATGGAAGAAAGCATCTCCCCAGAGCCAAAGATGAGCACCATTTCCTCTAGAAGCCAGAAATGAAAAGGAGATGCCTCTGCCTTCGTTTGTGTTTGTGTGTCTCATTGTATTTGATTGCAAAGGCACTGAATGTTTGCCTATGTACATATGTAAATTCTTTAATCAGCTCTAAGTTCCCTAGGGGGGAAGGGTGGAATACAAATAAAGTGTATTATTCTTCTTCTACTGTATTATTATTATTATTATTATTATTATTATTATTATTATTATTATTACTGTGTGTGAAATTTTCCTTTCTGATTGTACGTCAGGGGAAACCACTGAAAGAAGCGCAAGGGGAGATCCTGTATTCTGCTTCCTTCTTGGAATGGTTTGCCGAAGAAGCTCGACGCGTTTATGGCGATATCATCCCATCTTCTGCAAAAGATAAAAGAATCTTGGTGCTGAAACAGCCTGTGGGCGTTGCTGCCATCATTACCCCTGTGAGCTTTGGATGATTTTTTTTTCTTGGGGTCTTAATTTTTGGGCCTTTTTCTGGAGAGTTATTTGAGGAGCTGATTCAGAAAATTGCACTGGATAGATTGCATCAGCTCTAGTTTTTTAGATAGGGTTGAATTTATAATGGAAAGTTTGTATCATAAATCTGTGCTTTTGTTATGAAATAAGTAGTACATTTTTCTTTAAAATTTTAATATGTTTCCTTCATGCTTAAAAGATATTGATTTAAAGACTATATTAAAATATCCTGATTTTTTCTATGGGCGAGCAGAATGAAGAGTGGTAGAATCATAGAACCATAGAGTTGGATGAGACCTTGTGGGCCATCTAATCCAACCCCCTGCCAAAAAGCAGGAAAATCACATTCAAAGCACCCCTGACAGATGGCCATCCAGCCTCTGCTTTAAAGCCTCCAAAGAAGGAGACTCCACCACACTCCGGGGCAGAGAGTTCCACTGCTGAACAGCTCTCACAGTCAGGAAGTTCTTCCTCATGTTCAGGTGGAATCTCCTTCCCTGTAGTTTGAAGCCGCATCCTAGTCTCCAGGGCAACAGAAAACAAGCCTGCTCCCTCCTCCCTATGACTTCCCCTCACATATTTATACATGGCCCTCATCAGCCTTCTCTTCTGCAGGTTAAACATGCCCGGCTCTTTAAGCCGCTTCTCATAAGGCTTGTTTTTCAGAACCTTGATTGTTTTAGTCGCCCTCCTCTGGACACATTCTAGTTTGTCAACATCTCCCTTAAATTGTGGTGCCCAGAATTGATATATGGCATATGTTCTGTAGCTCAAAAAGTAGAGCTGATGTGTGATTTTTGGAATCGACAGGTCAAATATACTCAAAAACAGGTTCAATATTTGAGGCACCAAAATGTCTGTTGGCCAGTTTTATTCTTAATAGTTAGAATAGGTTGAATTACCAAACTTTCATCCAAACATAGCAGTGAAAACCAAATAATGTGAGTTCTCCCTACTGCCCCCCTCCATAATGTTTGCGTTAGGAGTCAAGGATAAATAAAAGATAAACCACACTAGCAGCTGTAAAACAAGATAAGTGTCACTTTTTTTGTTTACTGAATGTCATTTCTCTTTGTTGGCTTTGCAGTTTGCAAACACTAGCATGTTGAGCTTAGACCAGGCATGGGCAAACTTGGGCCTTGCAGGTTTTTTGGACTTCCAACTCCCAGAATTCCTAACAGCCTCAGGCCCCTTCCGCTTAAGCGGCTGAGGGGGGAAAGGAAGGGGCCTGAGGCTGTTAGGAATTCTGGGAGTTGAAGTCCAAAACACCTGCAGGGGCCAAGTTTGCCCACACTTGGCTTAGACAGATGTATCGTTCATTAGTCAAGGTATACAGCTTATGAAAATGAAGTTTAAATATTCATTGAAGATACAGTTAATTAAAACAGATGCAATTAAAAATGGCAACAACCCATTGAGAACAGAGACAACTCAAATACAACAGCAGTATAAGAAAATCATCAGCATTCAATAGATTTTTTTTTGTAAAGCTTTAACAATGTTTCAAAATCACTACAAACAAATAGGCACACACCTACTTCCCAGAGAAAGAAATTCAAGGACTATGCCGTGCTCATGGAAAAGGTTTTTTCCCTCCCTGGTATTTGCTAAACGGGTATTTCATAACCTTAGGCATAAGAACAGGCTTGCCGAGATAAGCTTTGGAAATCCCCTTCCCAATCAAATTGTTGTAGGTACAGGTGGTATTTCAGAAAACCTAGTTGCAAACCACTCAGGACTAAATCACTAAATGTATTGAAATTTATGTGTCAGTTTTCTTGCTGGCCAAAGGGGGTTTTTTTTATCTGGCTTAATGAATCCTAGAGATAATAAACCAATCATCTTAGTTGGATCAAAGAACAGCCAATTCAGTCAATGTGGACTATTTATAGAATGACTAGCTGTACCCACCACGCTTTGCTGTGGCCAACCTTCCCTTCCTCTTTCTCTCCTTCTTTCTTTCTCTCCTTCCTTCCCCTCCCTATCTCCTCCCTTCCTTCTCTTCCTCTTTACTTCCTTCTCCTCCCTTTTTCTTTCTTTCCATTCTTCCTTATCTACCTATTCTTGGATTGTAACTCCCAGCAGTTCTCCTGATTGATCTATCTACCTACTATCTTTCTCTATCTAATCTATCTATCTGTCTTATCTATCTGGAGYATTACTGGGAGTTGCAGTCCAGGAATAGGAAATAGGAAATATGTACTGATTGGGATGCTCTCAAAGAAATCCAAGGAGAAGCAAGCTTGCAGCTTGGAAGCAGTGCATTTGGAGCATCCTCCTCCCCTAAAGGGCCTAGTCTAGGGGATGTTGGGAGCTGTCATTTTCGCACATGCGCTGTATRGCCAATTAGCTTTTTMGGGTTTTTAAGTCCTTTCTGCTGTTTTTTGGGAGGGGGTTATGAGTGATAGTTACTCATGGGTCTGTTAAAGTTGTAGTGTCCAAATTTCATGTCAATTCATCCAGTGGTTTTTGAGTTATGTTAATCCCACAAATGAACATTACATTTTTATTTATATAGATAACATACTATACTAGATGCAAATAGATCTTGCAACACCTATGAGAGGAAGAGATTGCATACACTTTTGTAAACTCAGTCTACTTAATCAAATCTGTTTTCCACTCCTTTGGGCTGAAGTAGGTGCTTTTCACAGTGGTCATATTCAAAGACATAGCTGTGTTAATTTGGATGAAGGTATCAACAGGCAAAGATGTCTTCAAGCACTCTTGAGACTAAGGAGTTTGTTAACACAAGCTTTCAAAAGACTAGGGATATATCTACACTGTAGAAATAATGACACCACTTTAATTGCCATAGCTTCATCCTATTGAATTATGGGAGCTGTAGTTTGTTGAGATATTTATCTTTCTCTGTCAGAGGTTTCTGGAGCCACAGCAACCCACAAATTCTAGCATTCCATTGCATTGAACCATGGCAGTTGAAGTGGTGTCAAACTTAATTCATTCTGCATTGTAGCTGCACCTAGGTTTACTATGTCTGATACACACTGGCAGAATGAAAATCACGTCTTTACCAATCCACACACAGTCTTGCTACAGAAAAAAAAATACACCATGCAGATGATGAGTAAAGAATAAGGTGTTTAATCTTTGTTATGCAGAGCAACATATATACAGTCATGAGAACAATGTCCTTTGAGAGAGATTCAAATGGTCCTTGGGTGTCCACGTGAGAGATCTTCTTCCAGCAGCCAAGAAGCAAAAATACAAAAACTATGCAGGCAAGCTTTTGCACAGAAAACTTGAACATGTAACTGTTGCCAAAATTCCCAGGCTCAGATAGCTTCTGGGTGTGACCCGACCAATCAGCGTGGTGCTATGCATTGTTCAGTTAACATACTCACCAACTTATTTTTACATGCTCCAACAATGTTGTCTTCTCAGCCTCAAAGGTGCTACAAGTTCCCATTGCATACTGACCTGGACTGATACATCTCTGCTTTTGAATTGAATAATAGTATACACGAATAAACTATACTAGGCTATGCTAGTTTTACAAACATTTCTTACTTTGCCAACATTTTGCTGAATTTGTCTGTGTTGTATCTGTCTTTCCAATGTAGTGGAATTTCCCAAGTGCTATGATCACAAGAAAAGTGGGTGCAGCTTTGGCAGCTGGTTGTACGGTCGTAGTGAAGCCAGCAGAAGATACGCCTTTATCTGCATTAGCACTTGCTGAGGTGAGACCTTTTTATACAGATGGAAATTGTGGGGGTTTTTTTGGAGGGAGGGGGTTAAAAGATGAAATTCCCAAAGATAGGCAGTTTTGTCAACTTAAAGTATTTCTCTCTGCCAGTTCTCTATTAAAGTACAAGTTAAACTTGGATTTAGAGGATCAGGCTCCTCATCCCCTGTATTTTCTCTAGCCTAATGTGCCATAAAATCTAATGCACACCTCAATTTTCAAAACCCTGAAAGCAAAAAGTGCACTTTTTGCAGCCTTCCTAGAATTCCTTTGTCATAAACCATTTTGTTAGAACACCAAAGCTTCCAGCGATGGAAGATGCTGCTAAGGAGGCTGTTCAGGTCCTGAACCGATGCCTGGCTGCTGTGATGGTCAGGTTGAGGGTGAACAAATTGAAATTGAATCCAGACAAGACAGAGGTACTCCTGATCAGTCGAAAGGCCAAATGGGTTTCAGGATTACGGCCTATGCTGGATGGATTTACACTTCCTCTGAAGATGCAAGTTTGCAGCTTTGGAGTTCTCCTGGACTCATTGCGGTGTCTTCGCACAATTAAACTTGTGGGCCAGTTGCACTCGTACCTTGACAAGTCAGACTTGGCCACGGTGATCCACGCTGTGGTTACATCTCATATAGGCTTCTGCAAAGCACTCTACATGGAGTTGCCTCTGAAGACTGTTCAGAAGCTTCAAGCAGTCCAACAAGTGGCAGCCAGATTGTTAACCGGAGTGGCATACAGGGAACGTACAACACCCCTGTTACGTCAGCTCCACTGGTGGCCAATTTGCTTCCAAGTACAATTTAAAGTGCTGGCCTTAGCCTATAAATCCCAAAACGAGTCTGTTCCAGCTTACCTGTCTGAACATATCTCCCTTTATGATCCAGTGCAATTGTTAAGATCTTCTGGGGAGGCCCTGCTCTCAATCCTGTTGCCATCGCAGGTGAATTTGGCAGGGACAAGAGACAAGGCCTTCTCGGTGGTGGCCCCGCGGCTGTGGAACTCCCTCCCCAGTGACATCAGAACAGCTCCCTCAGTCTTAAGCTTTAGGAAAAAGCCTTTGGGGATTAATATGACCCATAAATATGATGGAATGTGTGTAAGAATGGCAGAAGCAATTGGTTTAATGTTTATAAAGCTAAGTTGGTGCTAGACCTTTGATATGTTTTTAATCATCTGAAAGATTATTTATAATTCATAAGTATATGTTTTTACAGTTCTGTAATATTGTGTTTACTGCTTCTGCTATTGTTATTGTCTGAATCTGGCATTGAATTATTACCTTAGTTTGTAAGCCACCCTGAGTTTCCCTTTGGGGTTGAGAAGGCCAGGGTATAAGTACAGTAAATAAAGAAATAGAGAATAGAAAACCTTGGGCTGCATCTATGCTGTAGAATGAATCCACTATAATTGCCTCAGTTAAATGCTATGGAATCATGGGGCTGTAGTTCAACAAGGCTTTGACATTCTCTGCCAATGAATGCTGGTGCCTCACCAAACTACAAACCCCAGCATGGCATATCATCGAGCCTGGGGCCATTTAATTAAAGATGACCTTCCTCAAAGAGGAGTGCCAGGTGCAGCTCCTGAAACATCTCTTTTCGCTTTGGTTCAGCAGTAAGATTACTGTATGACACAAAGCTAATGCACATCTGAATTTTGGCAAGGCCATTTAGATCTGAGTAAATACTCTATATATGAAGGGAAATGATCAAACGTCATGTGTGTGTGTGTATTCTAGCCATGATAAGAAATCCTGCTCAATATTCTTTGTGTTCTAATCTTTTGAAATACTGCTTCAGTGTTCCTTGTGTTTGTGATATATGTCAAAAGACAAAACAAAACACTGTATTCGTCCCTTTCTTAACATAATAGACTTTGTAAGTTGACACTTTAATGTTGCACCTTGTTTATATTGCAGCTTGCAAACCAGGCTGGAATTCCTGCTGGAGTATACAATGTGGTCCCATGTTCTAGACAACAGGCAGCAGCAGTTGGGGAAGTGTTCTGCACAGATCCTTTGGTCTCCAAAATCTCTTTTACTGGCTCAACAGCCACAGGAAAGGTGTGTCTGCATGTTTCAAGTTTTGCTTTTTAGGTTTAAAATTTGTACAAGTTAGAATTCAGATTCTTTTAAAAAGACATTTTGGAATAAAGATGTTACAGTGTTTTGGTTGCTGGCTGTGGGTCAAGTGCAACCACCTTGCTCCTTTTTTCCCTCTCTTGGGAACAGGGATTTGGGGGTTTCAAAATACAGGAAAATGCTACTGAGAAAAAGTTGGGAAGTTTATCTAAGGACAAACATCCACTGCACATTTTAAAAATAATTTCTGAAGCTCATTGAAATCAATCATGATCCACTCACATAAATAATTGGATCCTTGTTACTTAGCGTGGAGATTGTGCTGTTGAAATGTAAAGAGTAATTTCAAGTAGTATTTCAAAGTACACTTCTTTTCATCATACCTTGGCAATAAGTATTAAGAAGACGTAAGATATATGTGATAATGGGATTAGGTGAGTCGTGAAGTCCTGGGCTGTTTGAGATCTAAATTTGATACTTATGAAGATAATCTGATGGTTTTGTAGGAGGACTAGTAATATTTTGCTGCTGTGTTTACCTTTCACTTTAGGAGAGTTGAGTGTGTATGTTCATCTTTGTAGGTCTACAGCTTTCTGTGTCTCCTGTGTACTTGCAGATACTGCTGCGCCATGCTGCTGGCACTGTGAAGAGGGTCTCCATGGAGCTTGGGGGACATGCTCCATTCATAGTGTTTGACAGCGCTGATGTAGACAAGGCAGTCACAGGAGCGTTAATGTCCAAATATAGAAACTCCGGCCAGGTGAGATCAAGGGCTCTGCTATGTTAACTGGAACTCTGTTTTGTTATATATTGTACTTTGAGAGGGGGTAAAACCCTTAGTAGTTTCAGTAGATTGTTCTATGAAATATTTGAGGGCATAGTCTTTGTCAATTCAAAATAAAACCCATATAATTGAGTATAAGCCAACCTAAATATACGCTGAGGCACCTAATTTTACCACAAAAAACTGGGAAAACTTTTAGACTCAAGTATAAGCTGAGGATGGGAAATGCAGCAGCTACTGGTAAATTTCAAAATAAAAGTGGATACCAATAAAATACATTAATTGAGGCATCAGTAGGTTAAATGTTTTTGAATATTTACTGTATTTCAAAGAAAAACAATGACTAACTGTAAGTGGAAAAGTAGGGCCAGAAAAAACAAAATGGTATCAACAACAACAACAGCAATAATAATAATAATAATAATAATAATAATAATAATAATAATAATAATTTTCATTTGTATCTCATCCTATCTCCCCATGGACTCAGGCCAGCTTCCAACATAGTAACAGGCAAACTTCCAATGCCTATATAAACAATGCAGAGCTAGATATAGATCTATAATTATATATACTAATTTCATATATGCATTTCCCCCTGAAATGTTTGCAAATTCTCTCTCTATATATGTGCATTTCCCTCTTGCAGTATTTGCAAGCCCTATATATCTATGTTTTTATCTATCTAGACGTCTCTATATGTGTGTGTGCATTTCTCCTGCAATATTTGCAAGCTCTATATATCTATATTCATATCTATCTAGACATGTCTATATATGTGTGTCTATTTCCCCCTGTAATATTTGCAAGTACTATATATCATTTCCCTTTTCAAAACTTTCCCTTCTTCTCTCTCTCTCTCTCTTTAAAAAATAAGAGTTTCCAAAATGGGCAACCCAGCCTGGGAGGAGAACTGGAGTAAACGAGGCATTGGAAAAGAAAACACACTGTTAAGGGAGGGGAAGAGGGGAGAGAAACAAATATATTGAAACAATGGCAGGAAACAGCTATTGGAGCCTTGATGCCATTATAAACCGAGGGAGGCTTTTTCAGCCCAAAAAGTGTTGAAAATCTTGGCTTATATTTTAGTATATATGGTAGCTAACTCATATTGATTTGCCAGTACTCATAGCTTGGAGGACAATACTTAGATCAAGCAATCTTGTCTTCCACTTATGAGGCTGATGTTGCCTTCCAGGGATCACTCTATCTTTACTATTTATAGAACGGTCACCTTGGCACCCAATTTGAACTTCATTTGTTTTATTTACTGATGAAGGTAGAAGCCAAAATCTTTACATCTAAACAGCAGTAATTACATTGTGGACACTGTTCAGGATTTGTGTTTTGTAAGGCTGGAACTACTTGAGGTCATATTGTGATTAATGTTTTGCTGCCTTGTTTAGAAGTACATTTCTTTTAAAAAGGTCTCTACTGATTAGTGTTATTTGGAGGTACACACAGGCAGAGGAATAAGTAGGGGACTGCTGCAGCATAAGGAGCAATATTCCTCATTTCTCAAGTTCCAGTACTATTTTTATCCATGGCGGGTCAATGGCTTATTTAGGTGGGAATAACACAGCTAAAGAATGGCTCAAGTAGAGAGAGGTTCAGGCATTGTAATAGTACGCAGTTGCTGTTCAGTGATTTACAAGATATAAGTGGCTAACAAAAATAACCATTTATTTTTATTTCCAGACTTGTGTTTGCACAAACCGGTTCTTGGTGCAAAAAGGGATCCATGATGCATTTGTGGAAAAGTTTGCAGAAATCATAAAGAGAGAGCTTCATGTAGGCTATGGATTTGATGAAGGGACTACGCAGGGGCCACTAATTAATGAAAGAGCTGTGGAAAAAGTAAGGATTGGTGTTACTGTTTGTTTCCTTGAGCAATGCAACCTATTCTATATTCCTCAATGACTGCTGCCCTTTGTACAGAAGATCCTGTTTTTTAAAGTCAATTTTGCTGTGTGCTTCCCAGGTTGAAAAACACATCCATGATGCAGTGTCTCATGGTGCTTCCATTGTTACTGGAGGGAAACGACACAATTATGGGCAGAATTTCTTTGAACCAACTCTACTCAGCAATGTCACCACAAGCATGCTGTGTACGCAAGAGGAAACATTTGGTCCTCTGGCCCCAGTTATCAAGTAAGAGAGCTTTTGCAAATCATACACCTTTTTCTTATTTAATAATAGGTTTCCATATAAAACTTTCTTCTCTGTGTAATGTTTTCTTAGCCTACTAAAATGTGTGTTATGTTGTGATCATCAGGTTAACATATTTTTCGTATTTGAATGGCTTCACAGATATACCATATATACTCTTTTTAGGCTGAAAAAGCCCCCCTCAGCTTATACTTGAGTCAAAATTATTTATATTATTATTATTATTATTATTATTATTATTATTATTATTATTTTACTCTAATTATCATTATTATTACATTTACATTATTTTATTCTATTATTTTATTACATTATTTTTATATTGTTCTATTGTTATTAAATGTATCATTATTTTCTATTTATTATTGTTATTATTACATTTATTATTTTACTCTATTTATTGTTATTATTACATAATTATATTATTTTACTCTATTATTATTATTGAAAGGATATGTAAGCACATTTACATTGAAGGAGGTTAGAATAATGGTTTAATCAGAGTTGGACAGTCTTATCTTAAATTACAGTTTTATGTAAATATTCAACAACATTTAACCTACTGATGCCTTAATTAATGTAATTTTATTGGTATCTTGAAATTTACCAGTAGCTGCTGCATTTCCTATCCTTGGCTTATACTCAAGTCAATACGTTTTCCCAGTTTTTTGTGGTAAAATTAGGTGCCTTGGCTTATATTCGGGTCGGCTTATACTTGAGTATATACGACATAATTATCTAATCATTCAGCAGATTTGTTTTAATTGGAATTACCAATAGGGTACAGGCCATTATGTTTAGTGGGCACTTTGTGCTGAGATTTAGAGAAATGTGATTTTCTAACATTAATTCATATCATTTTATCATAATCAATTCTTAATCTGTTAGCACTTTTTGCAGCCTGTCTTTTTAAAAGTTAAAATCTGAGTTAATCTACATAAGAGTGTGATAAATTTCTCCTTGGAAAATCAAAGAGAGGTTTTTCCCTGTAGAACCAACGCTTCTTCTCTGCTACATCACATGGTTGGCTCATGTGCAACTTGTCCACTAAGACTCCAAGACCTTTTTCACATGGACTGTTGTTGAGCTAGGCATCAGCCATCCTGTATCTGTGCATTTCATTTTTTCTGCCTAAGTGTAGTACCCTACATTTTCATTGTTGAAATTCGTTTTATTAGTTTTGGGCCAGCTCTCTTATCTGTTATGGTCATTTTGAATTCTGATACTGTCTTCTGGGCTACTAGCTTTCCCTCCAAATTTGGTGTCATCTTCAAACTTGACAAGCATGCCCTCTAAACCTTTATTCAAGTCATTTATAAAGATGTTGAACAGCACTGGGCCTAAGATAGAATCCTGCAGCACCCCACTAGGCACTTCTTCTCAGGATGAAGAAGAAGAATTGGTGAACACCCTCTGAATTTGGTTGCTCAACCAATTACAAATCCACCCAACAATAGCATTGTATAGCCCACACTGTTTGCAAGAAGATCATGGACAACCTTGTCAAAGGCCTTATTGCAATGAATATATGTATTTATACATCGATTTTAAAATATTTGCACATTTCATGTAGAGCAGTGTTTCTCAACCTGTGGGTCCCCAGATGTTTTGGCCTTCAACTCCCAGAAATCTTAACAGCTGGTAAACTGGCTGGGATTTCTGGGAGTTGTAGGCCAAAACACCTGGGGACCCACAGATTGAGAACCACTGATGTAGAGTCTTGGAAATGTTTATTTCCTGCAAACCCCCAATTTATTTCAGTCTTTTAAATGGATCATTTATATTTCCTGTTCATGCATTTTCTCAATATTTGCAGGTTTGATACAGAGGAAGAAGCTCTTGCCATAGCAAATTCAGCTAATGTGGGTTTAGCAGGTATGTGTCATCTGAATATTCCATTACTGTTAATTAAAAACTGAATCACACCATTCTACCAAAAAAGTGACTCAGTACTGAAATGCAACAAGAACAGAAATACAAGTAAACATGGAGGAAGATCTGACAAATAATCAACCAATTAAAATCCCATTTAGCATTAGGCCTGCTTAAATACAAAAGGGCTGCCAGAATAAATATGTTTTACTTGCAAGCTGAAAAAGCAAAAAGGTCTTATGCATGGCTTGGCAAGGAGTTTCAAAATTTGAGGGAAACCATGAAGAAGGATTCACTGCATGTACAGAAGGCATGCCTCAAAGGGTGAGAAGGGAAGGCTGCTTTCTTCTTTTTGAAGATCTTAAGAACTGGGCAGACTCATAAGGGAAAATACAACCCCATTGTATCTATAATACATAAATGGTGTAAATCCGAAATACCAAGAAATCAACATAGGTGGTGGTTGGTTTATTAATTTATTTATTTATCACCTTTCAACCCATTAGAGACCCTAATACAGTGGTTCTCAACCTGTGGGTCCCCAGGGGTTTTGGCCTACAACTCCCAGAAATCCCAGCCAGTTTACCAGCTGTTAGGATTTCTGGGAGTCGAAAGCCAAAACATCTGGTGGTTACCCACAGGTTGAGAAACACTGTCCTAATGCAATTTGCAGTTAATTAAACACATCGTCACTTAAAAAAAAGAACTACTTTTTCAAATTGTTTTATGAGTCTGTTCTGTGTGATGCCCACTTTGCAGGTTATTTCTACTCCCGAGATCCTGCCCAGATCTGGAGAGTTGCAGAGCAGCTGGAAGTTGGAATGGTTGGTATTAACGAAGGACTTCTGTCTGCCGTGGAGTGTCCATTTGGTGGCGTTAAACAATCCGGCTTAGGAAGAGAAGGTTCAAAATACGGCATTGATGAGTATCTGGAAGTAAAGTATGTCTGTTTTGGAGGATTACAGTAGCCATTAGTTAACATGATTCATTACAATTATTAGACTTTTCATAAGTTTAATATAGCAAGATTATTTGTCCCTCCTCTTCTTAAAATGGAAGCAATCATGTTTCTATGTAATGATGCCTTTCGTTTACCATAGTTTTAAATGTGTAAAACAACTACTGTGGAATCTATTTGAGTGCATATACAGCATAAGAATATAAACGTACTTTATGATTTTCATAAAAATGCTGGAAGAAATCATCACATCTTTAGAGGAACCAGAAGTGTTTCCTAATTGACGTATGCATTTTGGAGTCAACAGAGCAGATACTAGTTTTTTTTATCCACACTGTGAAACTGTTGCTATCATTGTATTTTCATAATATCTGTGCCAAATATCAAAGTTGGACTTCTAATTAATGTCTTCTGATTGTTAAACTTAGGACTTCTATGATATATTAATGTTAGTAGGTTAAGAAATATCCCATACTTTCATGTTATTTTTCAACGGTTGACTAGAATATAAATGCCTTTGCAGGCATATGTGTAGCTCTAATACAGGCATGGGCAAACTTTGGCCCTCCAGGTGTTTCAGACTCCAACTCTCACAATTTCTAGCAGCTGGTAAGATGTTAAGAATTGTGGGAGTTGGAGTCCAAAACACTCGGAGAGCCAAAGTTTGCCCATGCCTGTTCTAATAGGACTAGCACATATTGAAGGAGAGAATTGTGTTTTGTGCCTAAGTTGAAACTTGTGACCAAATGTTACATTTACACAATAGCACAAAAATATGAACACGAGCCATTGTAGTGTCTTCTCACTGGAGAAATTGTAATGTATTTTGCATCTCCAAGTATTCCTGATGGCAGAAAAGGGAAACTTCTCAGTTTCTACAAGGCAGTATCTATGTAGATGAGCTGAAATGCAGATCTTATTGATTCATATCCATCTTCCTCAGTTGTCACTTGAGGAAGCAGGTATTAAATTAAAGTTCTACAGTAAATCGGCTCATATTTCTCTTATCCAAATTCATTTACTAATGACTATGTAGTATTCCCTTTCTGAAGGCTAATTTTTTTTCTCTATGAGGTCCTGACACGAATTCTAGAGAGATATGAAAAATTTTAATCTCAGCACCATGCACAATCAGAAGGTGACAAAATAAAACCTGTATTTTGGAAGGAAATCGTTTTGGGGATTCTCCTTACTTGTCAATCCTATTTTATAGTTTATTTGAGGCCTAGATGAAGTTATTTCCTTTCCCTTCCTGACTGTTGTGTTGACTGTAGAAGTTGGCCATTCTTATTCAGCTGTGCCATGAAGTATTCTGAGTTTGGATACAATGGAAAAATGATGAAAATGTTTGTATAACAGTGGCATATAAATACTGCTGCTTTCAGATTTGCACTTTATCCACATTGCAAGACTTTATTTGAGGTTCTGCATAATGTTTTTGAGAGACCGTTCCTACCTTTCAGGGAAAAAATGTATGTCCATGCTTCGCTGATTGACGGCGTTCAGATACATGAGTTTCTACCATAAACTGCAAACTTTTGCAATATGTTCGACTGCATCTGGGGCATAAGACTACTCTTCAAAAGTGATATGCAACAGGAACATTTACCATTTAGAAAACCTCTCTTTGGACTTACAGGTTCAGGGTATGAATTGGCACTGATTCCTACCCTGTAAAAGAGCAAGAAGTGCCCAATATTTTGTCTATATTGCAGCAAATAGAATAACTAGTTCAGAAAGAAATCATTGTGCCAAAGAGGCTGAGAACAGGATATATAAATACAGTTTTGTATATCATAAAAGCAAGGCCTTCTGTGATCCTTTCTGCCTTTTACTACAAATTAGTGTACAGTCACTTCAAAAAAGTTGCACATGCTCTTCAGTGTTAGCCTAGCATATGAAGACAAATTGTGATCGGCTGCTTCTAAACCGGTCTATAGTGGAATTAAGCCAATCTATAATAGAAACTGGCATCAAACAAAAAGATTTTCAGCTATAGAACTTCAGTTCCTTTGCAGAAAAGAACAGAATCAGTTGAACAAGCAGCATAGAGGAGGGCATACTAACTTGAATTTTTTTTTTAATGTTATTAAAAGCATCCTCAGAATTTGGTGGGAATATTAAGATTAAGCACAACTCATTTATAGTATGTGACAAAATACTATTAACCTATTGATTTTTTTTTTCTGGGGCAAGTTGACTATATACATATAATCCCTAAATGTTTCATATTTTTTTACATAGATGTATTAAAACTGATGTATGAAATTCCTTAACTGAAGAGTATACTTGACTTCTTTAAAAATGTTTTGTTCTTTTTCATAGCAAGTGTGTTTACATGATATGAGTGTTAAAAACAGGATAATGTAATAAATGTTTAATTTTAAATTTAGTATTTGCATTCATTGTCAAATGTTTCGGCTTGTTTTCTTTTAACATCTACCACAAGTATTGTGAACTTTCCTGAAATGTATTTCGGTGGTCGAACTATAGACATATACATTCAATAGCCATGTGCCATTATCATTTAGATATCAAAATGCATTTTCATTAGGATTGTGCATTTGGGGTAAACCTTGACCCATTTTGTGTCCCAGCTTTCAGTGGAGGCTCCGATTTTTGGGAACCTCCCAAAATCGGGAGGGCAGATATCTGTTTTTGCTCTTCAATTAGGATTAGGATTTGAACCATTTTCTATCAGCCCATTATTGGGGGGGGGGGGTGCTTCCCACCCAGGCTCCCCTTCCCAGCATGTGCTTTAAGGAGGCTTCTTCTTACCTGCTGTTTTTACTCTAGAGGAGGTGCTCGGGTGCAGGCACTGGCAGGCGTGAGTGCTTTCTGGGCCTGCGCAACCCACATGGACTCTCTTTGCAAGGAGAGTTTGTCTGTGCCATGTAGACCCAGAAAGCTCTAGAGTAAGAGGCACTCAGCTGCAGGTACTGACAGGCGCAGGCACTCCTGCATGCCACACACACACTCTCCTGTGTGGCGTGCAGGCCCATAGAGCGTCCATGCCTGCCAGTGCCTACAGCCAAGCGCCTTTTCGGCTTCATAGAGTAAGCTCTATGAAACCGAAAAGCAGTCTAGGAGTCGGGACCAGCTCCTGCTTGCTTTCATGTCAAGCTGATTTTCATACTGGGAGGGGACTTCCTGTTCAGTGCTCCTGAAGAAATAAAAGACACAAAGGAAATGAAAGAAACGGGAGAAACAAATTCCATGCACAACTCTAATTTTCATCCATGTTTACATACTAAAGGCAGGAACACCCAAATCAGTGCTGAAAACATAGAGCTTGTGCTTTTGAGTCCTTGAAAAAAAAGAACATTCTTGCAACACTAGTGAATATCTGTTAGAAATTCAGGCGTTTAATTGCTTTTTAGTCAAATTCAACTTACCTGAAAAAAAACTGAATAAACAATATAGCTGTATCCATGGTTTCTCCAATCTGCATCCAACAAAATAGTTCCTCTCCAGTAATTTTCTAAATTCTCCAGATGAGTCTATAGTATGGTTCAGCAAAAAGTTTGAGGTATCATTCATTTCAAATAAGAAAATTTGGGTTCCATGTTATGCCATATCTGGAGTGGGCCCTTGGCATAATACTTTCTGTATTTTGTCAATGTAACACTTTCTAAACCTAAACTGAGATCTTCCTTGCTTCAACCATGTTCTTGCATCATATATCTTCACAACCATGTCCTCTGTAATGTATAGCCTTACCAAGTTTAGTAGCAGCAGTATCACACTACAGATTCTCCATCCCTCTCTGACACATAAACACACAGACATTTGCCATGTTCAATTGAAAGCAAATATATGGATAACAGTGTAGACACAAACTGGTTTTAATAATGTAAATTTGCATACTGACATTAATGAAGTTCGATTGATGCACAGCCACTGTTTTCTATTGAAGACAACAATATATGCAGTCAAAGTGTAACAGTCTTAGCTTGACCTAGAGTAGCAACTTTTAAATGTCCATGAGATATTATAGGAACTCTACTTCTAGCACTTTAGGTACTCCACCTTTTCCATTTGCTGAAAAAAATCCAGTGTGTCTCCCTCCTGCTATGCTGGGAGCCTATTGGTCCATCTGCCACTTCTATAGCATCAGGAAAAGATCAGAGCGAGGACCCGGCTGTCCTTTCAGATCTGTCTATTTATCTGTCCTTTGAAGTATAGCTGAATGAGACACCATTTTTAATGGAGCCATTCATGCTGTTCCGCGAGTTCTCTCTTTCCATCTTTTCTCTGCTGAAGATGGTGTCCTGATCGCTGTCAAACTCAGACTCTGAGACCATCAGGCTGGAATTGTGTTCTGTACTTCTGTGTTTTATACCTGTAGGATAATGAGACATACAGGTTTCTTGGCATATCTATTTAATGTTTCACTCAAGCAATATTATTATGCATGCATAATACTGAATTCAGGAAGCCATGTTATGCTTTGATTATGCTTTGCCATAAACTAATACCCAGATCCAAAGTATTTAAGGTCTGCACAATAGAGTACATCTCCTCATTTCAAAGGGAAGTAACACTTCCCCTGCAATATTCCTTGGGAATCTGATTAAGCGTCTAGACATATTTCCCAGTCCTCTTTAACAACATGAAGATAGTAGAAGTCCTGTTCACATCCTATTTCAAAAGAAGTCTGATTGCTAAACTCAAACTCATCTGAGGAGCTCAATAGTGTGGTGTAAATGCCCTACAAAGAGGGCATTTAGAGGCATTTTTTTTTAAAAAAAGAGTGCATTTTTTAATCCAAGGGTCCACAAAAATATCCCTAGGGCTTGTGGCCCACACTTTTCTGTTTCTGCCATCAATAGATATCAGCTGAAGAAGAAAAACTTCAGTTAGTGTTAAACTCAAAACAATACTTTTGAACTTTGGCATAGAATGGTTGGATAATTCATGAAACAGGCAAGAGGAACTAACATTATTGAGATTAATGGCTGATTGTGACAGGACTCTATGTAGGTAGCCTTTATAAAGTCAATAGATTATATAAGGAAAAATGGAAAAATGAAGTCACGTGTATCAAATAGTCTCTTAAAAGAAAAGAAATCAGAACACATATCAAAAGAATCCTACCATATTTGGGCCTGAGTTCCATTCTCTCTTGATCATCTATGTTATCTAAGATAGTATATTTTGTTTTCTTTCTTATTTTGGTTCGTTTTCTCCTAAAGATGAAGCCAGAAGGAGAAAATTAATTCCCTATGATCATTTAACAAATTAGGCACACAAATATTGTTGTCTTGCAAATGAGAAATAATTCCATCTTCCTTGAGCCTAGTTCATACAGTCTTGCCGAAGCCCCTCCTTTGAAAATGGATCTAGCCATAGAGGTGCCCACTCATAACATAACCTTTAGACAGGAAATCCAGAGGAGAACCCATTGTAGAAATAGCCATAAGAAGAACTTTACTGGTGTGGTTACAGTTCTGTCTGGATTGTGGCCACATGCACAAAAATGCATCCTGTGAAGTCCTGTTATACACAATTGCATCATAGGGATATATGCGGATGTACATAAAAATAAACTATTTTAGATTGACCAGATATTCATTAACCACTTGCCAGAAATATACACAGTGGTTAAAAGACAAATATTCCACATCTCCAGATGCAACAAATGTATACAAACACATTGGAACTGGAGGGGGGGGGGGAGTAACAGCAGGTTCTCCTACACTATTAATTGGCCAGTTTAAATTTCCCTCTCAATATTCTCATATACATCTGGCTAGACTTATAGAGTCAAAACAAGACTAGGTTCTTTATCAGACAATGTGTCTCTCCTGCTGCTGCTTTGCATTTAAACAGCTAGTGATGTGCGTCTTTTTAGTGTTGGGTCCAAATAGCATTTTTCCACCTCTGATTCTGGTACAGTAGTCCTTTCCACCACAGTTCTGACATTGGAATTCATCCAGAAATAGACAAAGAGCTAGTTGAACTGTTGCAACAAGAGAAATTATGCATTCTCTGTAACCAGCTCCGATTAACAAACTGGCTGTAGCTCTTTGGGCCTGCCAAAGTTTCCAAGCACTCTTCAAAGGCAGCCTCAGATAGAGCATGTTACAGTAATGCAACCTGGATGTAAATGTGTTACCACAGCCCACACTGATGTCTCAAGGCATAGGCACAGGAGACACACAAGCCTTAAATTTGCAAATGCCTTTGACCACTGCTGTAACTTCAGTTTCCAGATTCAGGCATGAATCCAGGAGCACACCTAAACTGCAAACTTGTGTCTTGCAGGGTGTGCAACCCATCTTACATATATTGGAGGTGTAGATACGTCAGGTTCTGTGCATGCTTATGATGGGGATTGCAGAACAGAGATTCTAACCTATATTTATAATTCTGCATGTAGAAGCAATGGATGTTGATATTATGCATTATTTAAAACTAAGTACCTTTTGCAGCAGCAGATGCACAGCCAGGCTAACCCCACAATTAGTACCATCAAAACAAAAGCAGATACTGTTACATAAAGTACACTCCATTCTAGAAGATAAAATAAGAACAATTAAAATCAGTGAGAAAGGCCATTAAAACACTTCCACACTCAAGATACTCGCATTAACAGACCTACTCTATTTAGCAAGTTCCCACGTATTGCAGAACCCTTCATTCGCTTCTCCCAACTCACCACAGTTACTCTCTCCATTATCTAAGTACCGCTGTATCAAATTTTCCATCCACAGTTGATAGCAAATACATTGCTTGGTGATGGGGTCACAATGCCCATGTCCAGAGCATTTTAGCAGGCAACCTATGACAACAAACAACTGAAATTACAAATATTGCAATGGGCTTTAACATTCAAACAATGCAGTACTACTCTGTCATGCAAATGCATACCAGCTGTGTCAATGCGAAGAACTCTGAAAAGTAGGAACTCGGGCTTTTCCTTCAGGAGTTGCAAGCGTAGCATCTGGGCAACATCTGAAGCCTTTATGACTCTGAAAGGATGCCCATTCTGAACATAGAACACAACAGCTGTGCTGAAAAGAGGATGCATATATTAAAGACTTTCATTTAGAACACCCAAAATGAAGTAGCCTTTTAATTACAAATAACTATTTCAGGAACTTCTGGTTTGGCCAATATATGGTGCATGTTGGTTCAATGGAAACAAACTTTGTTTCTTGCACAAAATTATTTAAAATATTTATAAAATTACCTCCAATTTATAAGGTGTACATGAAACATAAATGATTTTTTAAGGATATCCAAGATATCTCATTTTATACAAATATGTAAATATTGGGATTCCATTTTTATGACAAAAATCCAAAATGCCAAATACATCTGGTCCCAAGAATTTTAGACAAGGGATATTAAATATGTATTTAGTTATCTGCCTAAAAACCACTGCCTTCTAGTCCCATGAAACGCGTACTTTGTACAAACATTGACCCAATATTTTACTCACAGTGTATCTTACTTTAGGGCAAGATGGTATATGGTTTTTATTTTAAGCATCCAGTGTATCAACAAATTCTAACATATAAATACATAAATTCTAGTCTTAGGTTGCTTGATAAGACAGTAAGAGTCATAAGTTCCAGAGCATTCAGAGACTAGAACCACCTTTTTCTCCAGTATCCTGAATCCCCACATATGGCACTTCTATTTTTGTTTTAGATAGTAATAATAACAATAATAATAACTTTTGTTTTGTATCCTGCCACCATTTCCCTGAAGGTACTTGGGGTGGCTTACATGAGGACCAAGCCCAGTCAAACACAATTAAAACATTGAGCAATAAAACAATAAAATACATGTAAAAACATCATAAAAACATAACTATCAAAATTAACAATCAGTGGCCGAGCACAGCACGCGTATTCAGAACTAAATGGCAAGGCGAGGGCTTGTGCAATAGAACTACCAGGATGGGCCAGATAGTAAGGTGCAAGGGCCAGAGGCCTGATAAGGGCTAGACAAGATCTGTGGTAAGCACATTTTGTGTTGCCTTGGAGACACAATTTCCCATTTTCTTTTTAATTGTGATGAAGAACTTTATAAGCTACATAAAAGGCACCTGTGGGACAAAGAAGACCCATCTCTGTATTAATACAATCCTGCACAAATAAACATTTTTGAATGCAATCCTATTCAACTGAATAGAAATGGCACAGAAAGTTGTAGTCCATAGAAACGGTGCAGTGTGTGATTGCAAATATGATCTCTGTCTTCAGTACTTGCTACTAAAGGGATATTTTCTAGCTTGTAGTGCTTTGGGTGATATTCTGCTGTCGGTATTCTTCTGTACCTGATATCAGAGTAAGCCTGTATCTTCTGAACTTTAATATCTGAATCAAGAACATTCAGCAGCACTGCTATCTGTCGTACAAGAGTGTCTTTCTGTTGCTCTGTTAGCTGACCCACTCCAACATCCAAAATCAGTTCCACAAGGCCACTTTTCTTTGGATCTATGAAAGACAACAAATCAGAGACTTTCAGAGAATGACAATTTTGTTACGTCTTAGAAGAAGTGCACCATCACAGTCACTTAATATTTCCTATGAATCTCACAACTGATGTTGCAGGGAGGCAACGTGGAATTCCAAAATGGGTATTTTCCTGTGCAGCTTACAATGTTGTGGAAAGTTTCTGTTTTGGGTTCCACACATGCCATTTTACTCCCCGTTCTTTTCTCCACTCCCTGCACACGCACAATAGTCAATCACTGTTTGTGCCCACTAAAGTATTCTTGCTACAACATTTGGAAAGGAGATTTTATCCCATGACCAGAGGTATTTCTGATCTCATGACCAAGCAAAGTCATTCTACACAAATGCCAACATTCAATTTTTTTCGTGTCAGGAGTGACTTGAGAAACTGCAAGTCGCTTCTGGTGTGAGAGAACTGGCCATCTGCAAGGATGTTGCCCAGGGGACATCCGGATGTTTTACCATCCTGTGGGAGGCTTCTCTCATGTCCCCACATGAAAAGCTGGAGCTGACAGACAGGAGCTCACCCTGCATTCAAATTGCTAATAGTATAAAGGGAGGCTCTCCAGATGCTGTTGGACTGCAACTTTCCAATGGTTCTTGCCATTGGTTATCCTGGCTAATGCTAATGGAAGTTGTCGTGTAACCTCTGCTGGGTCATACTTTGCTCATCTTTATATACAACACTATCAGAAATAAAAGTAGGCTTCTCTCAAATTCTCCTCTCCAAAGTATCACTCTGCCCATATCAGTCCCACTTCCAAATGAATTAATTTACAAAGATAATTGAAATTATTAACATGGCTTTTCAGCAGAAAATGTAAGCGGCTAAAAGCAGGAAGGAAGGAAGGAACTGGAGCAAAACTGAAAGCAGTAAAAGTAGGCTTCTCTCAAATTCTCCTCTCCAAAGTATTACCCTGGACATATCAGTCCCACTTCCAAATGAATTAATTTACAAAGATAATTGAAATTATTAACATAGCTCTTTAGCAGAAAATGTAAGCGGCTAAAAGCAGGAAGGAAGGTATTGGAGCAAAAGTGAAAGCAGGAAAGCGTATAATCAAATCAATGGCTCAATCTTCATCATTGCTCTGTTCTGGAGATTAATCGATGCCATAAAATGCAGAGGTACAAGAGCACAAAGGATGTTCGGTTAGATTATTCCTGGAAGTCTGGTACCACTTTTTTACAGCAGGTGTTCCAAGAAGCTGGCATTATCTTTAATTTTATTTCTGGTTTCTATATGTGCAGTCCTGGATACACACAGTGTGCTACTGGTACCAGCTGCAGGGGATTCTGCATAAGGAAGGGGAATTGTACAAACCAGTGTTGATCAGATTTGGGCTACAGTTGAAAGGACTGGTACAGAGGAAAGCCTCTTGGGGGAAAAGAAACCAAAAAAACTTTAACCTGACCAGAAAAGAAGGGGCCGGGGAGAATGTGGCTTGGTTTAGTCTTGCTCCTTTTTTACAGCTCAAAGAGAAAAAAATGCAGAAGTGGAATTTTTTTAAAGCCAAAATAAATTGTACAGGTATGAGAATATGTTCACATTTTTCCTAACACAAATGGCACATCCTCATCAAACCCTCTCAACCACATGCCCTACATCATATCCCTTCTTTCCCTGCATTTTTTATTCACCATTTTGAAGTATAAACAATAGAAAATATGTCCATTCAGTTTTTATAGGGCTGGTTTTCCATGGATGCACAAGACCCATTATATGCAGTGGTAGAGTAAACTGGTGTAGCTTCATACCAACGTTTGCCATCTGCCTTGAATTTCAGTGGATAATCAAAACAATGGTATGAAACTGGAACAACATGGGTACAAAGAGGAAGATTTCGAGCAAGAGTTTCCAAAATAACAAATTGTTGTTAAACTGCTGCAGAAATGGGGGGATCTGAGAGGAGTACAGAGCACAGAACATTCTATAAAATAATTTAAAATATCATACCAGGTTGTACTTCCACCACAGCCGTGTCGATGTCTGAATCGCCTTTCTCGTCTACCACTTTCAAGTGAAAAGTATAGCTTCCTTCTACAAGATTAGTTAGCTGCAATATAGCCTCGTGGTCTGAACCATGAATCACATCCTGCAAAAGTTAAGATCTGTTTTTTTAAAGATTGGCACGGCTTCACATTAATTTCCAACGGAGGCTAGTAATTTTCCAAATGGGTTGCTGTGAGTTTTCCAGGCTGTATGGCCATGTTCCAAAAGCATTCTCTCCTGATGTTTCACCCATATCTATGACAGGCATCCTCAGAGGTTGTGAAGTCTATGTCCAGGGTGGGAGAAAGAAAGTGGGTGAAACGTCAGGAGAGAATGCTTTTGGAACATGACCATACAGCCCGGAAAACTCACAGCAATCCAGTGATCCCAGCTATGAAAGCCTTCGACAACACAATTTTCCAAATGCCTTCACATTCATTCTAACAGAGGCTAGTAATTTTGAAAATACCTTCCACAAAATTCACTTAGAACAAGATGCAGTTGATGTTTCTCCCTCGGAGCCAAACATTTTCAGTACTATATGAAGACTAGAGAGATGAACCTCAGATTGACTTGCCCAAGATTACCTACTTATACCCAGCATGCCCAAAGGCATAGTAGGCAAGACATGGGAGCACAACTGTGAGGGATAAAAGGCAATTTGTGCTCCCCATAACATCCTTCTATGCATACATTCAGGTGCATAGGAAGCAACACTGCATTATTTCTAGCCACCACTTTTAGCCTAACCATTGGGAAATAGGGGAATGTGAAATGCTAACCTGTCCCTGTATATTAGTGTGCCGCTAGGAAATATGAGTTGGAAGTTTTGTTCATGTCCTGTTTGTGACCTTCCCATCAACAACTGATTGACCACTGTGTGAATAAAATCATGAAACCAAGAGGGGGTTTTTGGTCTGGCTTTACTTATGTTCTGGTATAACGGGGTCCTTTTATTCAAGCTACAAAATATCTTGGGCAGGTCCCGAGGTTCTCACACAAAAGCAAATTTTCCATCCAGTGGACCCCAGTGACTTGAACTATGTAGCAACAGTGCATGTAAAGCACATAATGATAGGAAGATATCCCATAACTTAAATTTGGGCTAGCAAAGCAATTAAAATACTTACTCCAGCTGCTGGGCTCTGGCCATCCCGAATCCAGAGATAGGATACAATTCCCTGATCATCTACAGATTGTGAACCATCCAAAGCTATGGAGTTATTGGGGAGAACAAGGACATGTGTGCCCCCAGCACGAGCCTGCGGTGGGTGGTTCTTTTCTGAAACATTGAAAGAGAATAAATATTTTATCAAGGAGAGATTATCAAGGATAGATTATGTCAAATGTATTGTTCAAATGGATACAATGCTTAGAATGTAAGGATAGTGGCTGATAAGATTAAAACCAACATTGTGAAATTACTTCCTGCTCAAAACTGTAGGACATAAGAAGCCCCTTTATATTAACTTGAACTACTCTAGCCAGTAATGTCTTTTTAAAAGATACCTTTTCCAGCACTTTTTACCAGACTGTTCTAATGGAAATGCTAGAAATTGAACCTGTGACCTTCTACAGCTAAACATATTCTCAGTCACTGAGCTATGATTCAGCGGATGTGCTGGATCTCCCACTGAGATACTAGCAGGATTAGAGTGTTTGGGGCAGTGGTTCTCAATCTGTGGGTCCCCATGTGTTTGGCCTACAACTCCCAGAAATCCCAGCAAGTTTACCAGCTGTTAGGATTTCTGGAAGTTGAAGAGCAAAACATTTGGGGACCCACAGGTTGAGAACCACTGGTTTGGGGAGAGACATGGTACACCTGTACTTCTGTTAGTATAGTCCCAGCTATTTGCCCTGAACAGTAAGCCTCCCTAAATAAGGCAAGAAGCAAATGCTCTATGACCACTGTAACCAGTGTTGACTGGCTTTGGGTGTGAGAGACACTCAAGCCATCTCAAAGACCTTGCCCTGTTCATGAATCCTGACTACTCACCCACTTTCATTTTTGGATACCTAACATCTAACAGATATCCTGACTCTCAGCCTGTGAACTGTTAATCACATGATAGTTAATCACATGGTTGTTCAATTCCTCAAGTGCATTACAACATGATGCCAGTAACTCCCAATACTGAATCTGCCCTGGGTTTGAGTCTGAACATTAAATGAGCTTGTGATGGTGTAGAGTCCTAGACTCAAAATAGGTTCACCATCTTGTATTGCTCCAAATTCAATTTCAGGTTGACTCCTGAATCAAATGTCTGTTGTGTCCTTCCCACTGCAAATTTCTCAGCTCCTAAGTTTTCAGTCTTGTTAACCTTGTCTCCACCATAACAGGCAGCCTGGTGGTAATCATATATTTTAGATTCCAGCTCCCTGGATCCATTACGTTTGGCTATGCTAGCTCAGATTTACAGAAACTGGTATCCAAAACTTCTGGATAGAGTCAGACTATCCCTGCATAAAAATATCTCAGCAGAAGCAAGGAGACCAGAATTCAAATTCCTATTTCATTATGAAACTCAGACTAGTCAACCTGTGGCCAGTCACCTGCCGTCAGGCTAGCCTATCCCACAGAATTGTTGTCAGAAGGGGAAGGCATATAATTCACTTTGCACTACTTGTGAGAAAGGCAGGTTAAAATGTAATCAATAAAAAATAAATATATCTTCTCCCAATTATGTATTTCTGTGGTCTTTCAAACAATACAATTAGAGCATTGTGATTCAACTTTCAGCATCATAGCTACATTTTGAAGTTTGTAGTTCAGCAAGGCATTGGAGACACAACAACTAAGTTTCTTACCCTCCTTAACAGTCACAGAAAGTGTGGCACTGCTGCTTAATCCTTGGCCATCTTTTACGGTTAGCCTGAAATAATATGTTCCAATCTGCAGACCTGTGACGGTTGCTATGGCACTGTCAACATTTTCCATTTGCAAAGAGCCTGGCCCACTGCAGCAAAAGCAAAACAAGACAGTCCTGAATCCATATTCAATTTGATATCAAACAAAAAAAAACTGCAATTATAGCAAATCCCTCAGTGATGTCACCAGTGTTCTTGAAGTTTCAAGATAATCTTTCTTTTGTGTTGAATGTGAAGGTCTGCACCAATTATCCCCATAGTAAATCATAAGCTTGAGAAATAGTGCAACTCTTTAACAGTTTGATATTTTTGAGAATTAACTATCTCCAAAGTGATTCCTGCATGCTGACAGGAGGATTCTGGGAGTTCGGCACAGTAACTTTTTCAACCTCTGCAGCCCACCACTGAGATAAAACTGCTTGATACAGTTAAACTGTATTTAATACAATGAATCTTGGAAGCTAAGCTGTCAGCCTTGGGTAGATGGTAGATCATCAATGAATATTTATTTATTTATTATGTTTATTTATATCCCGCTTTTTCTCTCCATACAGAGACTCAAAGCGGCTCACAATTAAAAGCATTACAATACAACTTAAAATATATAAATACTAAAATAGTCTTAAGCATCATTAATATTTAAAACAATTCAAGTTAAAATCATAAAAGCATATAAAATCAAAGCAGCACCTGAATTGCTCTTAAATATCTTCATCTTTAAATGCCTGCCTGAATAAAAAGGTTTTAGCCTGCTGCAGGAAGGACAGCACGGAGGGGGCCATTCTGGCTTCTCTGGGAAGAAGGGAGTTCCAGAGTCGAGGGTCTGCTCTCTTGTTCCCACCAACCAAGCTTGAGATGGAGGTGGGACCAAGAGAAGGGCTTCTCCTGAAGATCTCAGGGCCCAGGCAGGTTCATAGAAGGAGATGCAGTCAGCCAAATAGTCTGGACCTGAACTGTCTAGAGCTTTAAAGGTCATAACCAGCAGACTGGCAGCCAGTGAAGCTACTTCAACAGATGGTTGTCTGCCCTCTGTAGCCAGCCCCAGTGAGCAACCTGGCTGCAGCTCTTTGGACCAGCTGAAGTTTCCAAGCACTCTTCAGAATATTCCTTGCCTAAGAAAACTCTATGAAATTCATGAGGATCACCATAAATCAACAGGCGACTTAAAGGGACATGCACACACATGGTCTAGCTCTCAGTAGTAGTTTTATTTATTTATTTTGTATCAGAAGCATTGCATAAATTAGTATAAAACTGATAAAAATAGAAGGAGCACAAGTGGCTAAATATCTTTTAACCAGGCAACAGCAATGGCATTGTCTGTAGCCTCCAACAATTCTTCCTCTGTACATGTGGCGGGGCATAGTGGACAAGCATACAGATGCAGAGTTATCTATTCTGCTCCACAGTCACACAAGGTGGGGGATTCTTTTAGTAGTAGTTATTAAGTCTTGAATATCAGAATATTAATCTGTGATTGAGTATATTCCCACCCTTACAAAATACCTGATATTCTCCCAATGATAGTAAACAATGCCAAAGTCATCTGTGCTCTTGCTTCCATCCAGAATAGCACTTTGATCAGGAAAAGTCAACTCCTTATTAGGACCAGTCACTGCTCTTGGTGGGTCATTCTTTTCTGTAACCACAGTAAAAGGTTAAATGTTTAAACCATTTTCCAGCCAACCACAGATCATATTTATTTCTCCTTGAATTTAAATATTACTGGAGCTTGAGGAATTTCGGTTTTGGACAACAGCTCCTAGAATTCCACAGCCAGCATGGCTAGTGTGAGATTCTGGAATCTATAGCCCAAGAAAGCAACCTTTCCACGCTCCAAAAATCCTGTATTGTTTATACACATAAAGAAAACAGTAGCAACATGAGATTTGTCTCACCATATTCCATCTCTTTTCTTCCACAAGAGGAAAAAAGTTCAAAAAGCAATTTCCTAGATGTTTCTATGCTCACCTTCTGACCAGCTAGTGGTAGGGCAGGTGCCCTAAAATACCCACGAGGGAAAGAACAGAATGACCCCAATGGTCTCCATTGGCCACCACCTTTATCTAGCCCAGAGACAGTGCAAAAGACTAATGAGGGCAAGCAGAAGGATTCTCCCCTTCCTCATTGACTACTTGAGAACATGGCAGAATGTGTGCTGGCAGCCAGAGAAGCATCTGAGACATCTGCTTTTTTTTACAGAAGCCTTGTATAAATGGAGTCTCCACTCATTCCTTCTTTTCTCTTTCCCCTTATCCCTCATTCACTGAGTACATGCAAATACGTATATTCCAAAATAAAAATCCCAAGAAATATTTGATCTCAAGTAATTTGGATAAGACAGATTCAACCTGCCTACAGTTTGTAAACTCATCTGCACAGATGATCAAGGAAGCATCATCTGAAAAAGGCTCAGCAAGGTCAAGGACGCAAAAAAATTGCCTACCAGGCTGGACAACTACTGTGACTTCAGCTGTGGACTGCTGCTCAGTAGAATCAGTGACCGTCAACTGTAATGTATAATCTCCTTCTTTCAATGAAGATACCTTGAGATATGGGCTCCTCACTCCCTGTACAATATGGTTGAAGAGGAAAGACAAAGAGATGAGGAAATATGTTAGCTTTACAAAGTGTTTCTTTATTTGGAAACATACTTTCCATTTAAACCAAGGATGGAAAACCTGGAACTCTCCAAGTGCTGCCAGACTCCTGACAGAATCATCCCTAACCATACGTCAGAGTTGGCTGGAGTTAAGAGTGTTTGCTGTTCATAAGCACCTGGCTGCTAGCAATGCTGGTACTGGTTGAAATCTACTGATTTTAAAATCATCTCAACAAATAACACAAGCCAACAAAATCAAACTTTTCGTAATCATCAGAAATGAGTGTAGCACAGTTTAAATCAATTTTATACCGGTTTTAAATATGTCTTTTTTCCATCATGTCAACTTTAAAAAAAATATAATGAATGCTGCATTACAAAAGACTACTGTAAAATCTGCACATTTCACATCATATTTGTGTAGCACAAAACAACAAGTATTTTTCATCAGATGAGCAAAAACAGAAATGTACACAAATAGACAATAATCACTATCCTAGGACTCCCATAATAGTGAACTAGCATACATTCAAACTGGCCTCCACCAACACTGGCCTCCACCTTCATCAAGTACTACAAAAGCATTACTCCAAAATGGCTACTGCCTTGATGTGAAACCAGTTACTCTCCATTTACCTCCATTGTGACCAATTTATCTTTACTTTTGGGACTGAGAGACCACTCATAGCCAACGATTTCACGATCATCTTTGCTCTGGTTTCCATTCAGTGTAATGGTGTTTTGAGGCAAGCTGATTTCCTGATTTGGTCCTGCATTGGCAACAGGAGGGAAATCCACCGGTTTGTTGACTCTCAAAAAGGCTAAAGTAGAGTTAGCTGCTCCATCAGAGTCAACCACCATTAGCCTAAAAAGGAAAAAAAATCCATGGGCAAATCATACTTTTGAGCACAGATTACATATCATGCATCCTTGTATTCTTATGAATTAATCACCTAGCAGGGAAGAAATATACTAGGGTTTTAGCCCTATACTCAGCATATTTGACTGGGTTTTTTAAAAACAGAAATGCACAGGACTATGTTGTTCATTTTAGTTTTGACAAACTAGATAACAAAAGTGCATCTAGTATAACTAGACAACACCTGGCCATTCTATCAATTTTTCTCTGGCAAGAACCCTCCTCATAAAAACATGAATAAAAATATGTAGAATAACACAATCTCAAACCCAAGTGCATGCCAATGCCAGGTTTTTTTGGGAGGTGAGTTGGAACCTCAGGAAACAAATTTACTCCTTAGTTCACCATTTGCATTGATAATCTAATGCAGAAGTGAGCACTTTGACAGGTCTGGGTGCTATCCTTGGCCCTTACACACACACACACAAAATCTGCCAGTATCCACTGAAGGTCAGTTTGCATTCTGGTGGCACAACATACGGGTGAGGTTAGGAGCTAGAAATGCAGAAAGCTGCAAATTTGGTGTGGAAAAAAAATCCATATTTCTCTCCATTAAGATAGGAGGAGTGGGAATCATGAAGAATGCAATTCCACCTTCTACAATATTATTTTCTTTTTTTTCACTGAGAGGTAAGATTGTTGTTCCCCAAAGCCTCTAAGAGCAGAATCTCTCATAGAAAGAGAGGTGCGCATCCTGTTCAACTAGAAAAACTACATGTCTATCTGTTTCTGTGTCTGCTTCTACTCCAAACTGGAATGGTGTTGCTCTTGTTCATGTAACCACACATAACACATGGAAAGGGGTATTGCAAAGTCACATGTGGGTCATGGGCTACATGCCTTGTGCCTCTAACCTAAAAACACTCCAGCAGGGAAAATGTAGTCCTGAAGGTGTTGATAGACTGTAATTCCCCTCATCCCTGGACAATACAGGCATTGATAAGAAGGGACAACTGCTGCAGTCCAACATCATCTAAAGGGCCTCACGTTCTTTATCCATGCCATATACTAGTATATTAAATCCAGAGAATCCTTACTCAAGTTCTGCTTTTACTGGAAAAAGGACCCCGGAAGGTGAACTTTCTCTCAGCAACCTTTGGGTTTCCTAAAATGAAGCATGAATAAGTGCTTCAGACTAACATGAGATGTGCAACAGGAAGTCATCAGTGGAAGGGCAATCACCAAAGACTGTTCTCTTGCCTTTTTCCTCTGGTTGGGAATTTTATCTGGAAATTGATATACTTTGAACAAGAAACAATTCCAGTCATAGAATTGTTGATCTGAAACCAACGTTATTCACATGCCCTGCTAAGGCACGATTTATGTTGCTAACAATTAGTTGCTGAGCTCTCTGACAATCAACTTAACTAAACACAATTTGTTCTTCTCATTTTCTGTCTCTTTTTCATTCTTTTTGTCAGTTCCTGTTTAAGGGCAGCCAACTGCATAAACAACCCAATATTCTGGATTCAAGTGGAAGCCAGGGTCCATAAACCAACAACAAACCATAGCTAATTATTCTGGTTTCAGGGTGATTAACAAATCACAGTTTGGCTGCATGGAGGGCTTTAGACACAACAAAGCAGAATTCAACACCTTGGATCATCAATATATTTATTTATTTATTTATTTATTTACCCCATTTATATCCCACCCATCTCATGTTGAAGGGGACTCAGGGCAGCTCACAACAAAGGCACAATTTGATGCCTTAAATACATATAAAACTAAAAAACATATACCTTAATATCACATAATTAAAACATATAATTAAACAATTACTTAACAACACACAATCCGAAAACATATACCAGGAACCATTCCAATTGTCATTTGTAATGTTCATTATTGCACTGAGACCAAACCCAACTTAATGTGGAAAAGAGAGGAGCTCCTGGAATGAAAAATTAATCAAAACCAAAAAGTTGGCCATCCCTGGATTGTAGCCTGCTGAGCCACATGCAAGTAACAAAAATAATCTACTACCTGAATGTGTAATTGCCAGGAACGAGGTTAAACAAGTGTAAAACAGGTGTATCAGCTGATGCCTTCTTTTCTCTTTGGGGACCTTCAATTTCCTGCCAGTGGTAAGTCACTATTTTGGTATCATCTGTACTTTCTGCGTTAAAGGGAAATGCCAGAAGCATAAGTTAATAAGGTAGTACTACTTTAAGCAATTCTATTTAGACTGCAGGACAAAACTTTCCAGCTGGTACTTACGAGTCCCATCGATAAAAGTAGATGTGGTTGGGAAAGAAATCTCTTGTGCTTTAGGAGACACAACAGCAACAGGTGGCTGATTTATTCTGGCTGCTGCATAAAATGGAGAAACAGAACACCACTTTTAATCAAATAAATCCATCCCATGCAACTGAAGCTTTAGGCTTATTGTACAACCAGAACCATTCTCTAGCCACTGAACGAGATTAAATTCTTAATACAAGTGATGACTCAGAACACAGGTTTTGAGTGTTTCAACTAGATATCAAATAGATAAATTACTACAGCAAATCCACTTCTAGTGCAATCAGAACTAGATCAGTCTACTGAAGAACAAGAGATGCAGGGAAATGTAAAAGTTAAATATGGGGTTATTAATTAGCATTTTAAAAGAAGTCAGGGTGTGTGGCTAGTATTTAAACATCCTGTTTGGCTAAATACTTGATTTGTTCAACAATAGAGTGCAACTTGGGGTTTTTTTCCTAACTCGCAGTGTAACAACAACAACACGGAACCAAATCATGTAGCAAAATCAAGTAGCAGCAGAACAATGGAGCAGGTAAAAGTTACAACTTTAGGATCTTACTACATTGGGCACAGTCATTGCCCAGTGTATGATTCAGGTGAGTAGTAATACCAACTGACAGTATCTACCAGCCAGAGCTTGGAAGCAAGGGACTACAAGCAATGTAGTTACCTATAGCCAGCAACCCTGGTACACAGACCATTATGATTTATGAATTGTGTACATGTGAATGCATGTTTTTACAAAATGTTGGCAACAGCAATCTTTGCAAGCTTCCACTAATTGTTTGTTATGTAATTGCTTACTGTATTGTATATGTTTATTGGTTTGCAATTTTACCTAACCTTTTTGTTGTGGGAGGGCCTGCAGACCATGTGATAAGAACTGAGCATGTTCAGGACTCTGGCTCTATTTTAGATCTGTTATGCTTTAAACTTCAGTTGAGGTAGTGATATGTTTGTAGAAGCTATTAGACTCTTAGAGAGAGAGTAGAAGCCATCTCTATGTTATAGAAGACCGCAGGAACAGTTTGTTTTGGACATAAGTGCAGGAACTGAATGCTTAGATCTCAAAACACAGGTGCTTTAGTCTATGAACTATTGTTTCTCAGGATTATGCCCTGTGTTACCTACACAGAGAAACTACTACAAAATCCTAGTGTAACTGGATTCATAAGCAAAGTGCCTGTATGCTGTATATATGAAGTTTTGTGAGTACACCAACTCTGTTACTTTTAAAGACAACTGTTTATTTTGTCTCGTGAGAGCATGATTTAAATGCAAATATATTTTAAGGAAGAGTAGATGTTTTTTGGGCAACTAAAGGAATACTTCTGAAATTCTGCTGAATATATGTTTTGTGAATTGGCATGTCTTTGTCCTGCCTTTCCTGTGACCAGTGATTTTCCCAAAAGGTTATGAATCCCATTTCTCAAATGGTTATGGTGATTCACATTTTCCAAAGCAAAACAGTAAAAGCATAGAATACACTGAATAGTAATACCAACAACTGTAGCAGTTAACCATTAAGACAATAAAAAATAATTGAAATATTATAAAATACATATCAGGGAAATGTGTAAGACTATTAATAGAATGTGAGAAAAGCTATAAACTAGAACACTTTTGTTTGGCAATTCATCAGAAGGGTCAATAGAAGATGTATTGATAATCTGATCCTTGGTACATGATCATAGGAGCGAGGTTAAAGTTTCATGCCATTCTCTTATCAGTTCTAACACATGCACCAAAAGGCCCTTTTCCAACATAAAAGCATAAGTTACAATGGAAGGAGAAGAAGTTCAATGGTAATGAATTACAAGATTAAGTTTTTAACAAGTGACATAATGGATGACTTTTTAAAAGAAGCTTTCCTAGTTCTGTTAGCAACTCCTCTAGAGCAAAAAAGAGTTTGAGTCAAAGTCAATTCACGAAACCAACAATACTGAAAATATAATGCATTAATCTGTTCTGCTGAGAAATAGGAGATTTTAATTGTCTGGAAAAAATATTTACCTGGTTGGACAGTGACATTTACATATCCTTCTCCAATTGCATTTTCAGCAGTAACAGTCACTTTGAAGAGATAGCAACCTACTGACAGCTGGAATAGAAAGAGTTGGGTTTTTTAATCCAATTACATGCAGCATTTCACTAAGACACAATGTGAATCTGAGTGGCAGGGTTAAAAGCATGGAAATGCTGTTGCATCTTGCTTATCATCCAGAATCACTCAAGGGGGAAAAAGTCACTCAGAAGACTACAAATATGTCTGTCATAAAAATAGGAGTGTAATGAGGTGGACATAATATATCTAGGAAACCTTAAGTGTACATGAAAGTCTTTCCAAGATGGCAACTGAATATCTAAGTTGATGTGCTGTCACCATCTTAAGCTGCCTTTGAAATTACCTCCCATGTCTGGCTTAAAATTCTTTGGCTTCTATCAGCTGAAAATGATATCTTCATAAGCCTGAAGTGTACACTTTAAGTTTTAAAACTGTGGGAAAAGCAACGCTATTTTCTCTATTGAAAACCATGTATTAATTCAACTTTGCAACTGATTTAAGCTAACATACCTATGGCAGCCCTAAACATTTTTCTGCCTGCAACAGAGCAGCAAATGTTACTCCACACTTCTTTGATTCAGGAATCAGAATACTGGCATATGTTCATTCCTTGCACAAAAAAAAAATCCCACCAGTTGGCATCTCTGCTCCATCTGTGCCAATAAAAACTAATTAAATAATGACTTGCTGCCAGTTTATGACATTCATTTTTATTGCCTAAGCAGCTGCCTTATTCTGCCTGACTACAAGGCTAGAGTTTTACCATGTCCTACTTCATGTGATAATTTTTTGGAGTATTTTCACATAGAGAAGGAAGGCTTGTGGCCAAGTCTTTCTTCATCACCAAGCTAAGCAAGTTATGTTTTATAACACCCTGTGGACATTTGAAGATGAAGATACACACGAGCAATTGGGTTCCATGTCATGAGAATCCTTGGTTGTGAGGATGTCCCTGTCATATGGAGCAGGAAATGTTCATATGCCAGAATTTATCTTCAAGTGTTCACCTCCTACATGTGGAATCTAATAAGATGGTTGATGTTATTGTGTGCCTTATGGTTGTTTCTAACCTAAAGTAACGCTAAGAAGAAGCTAGCATATCTTCAGACAACATTGCCATTTCTTTTGTCACCAGATTCATAGTCCAGTGTTTCAAACATTTACTTCATGCTGACTCTCAAACATGGGCTTATTCCTTCTATACGATAGCCCTGCATGCAAACAGAATAAACTATAAGGGATAAAACATGCCTGCAGTATACATCATAAGCACAGCTAAATCTGTAGAATGTGAAGTAGCTCTAGACTGGCTTTCATCCAGCATTGATGTCAACTAATAAAAGAGGTTGGTACCAATCTATTTTAGGAGCCCAACTTGTTTCCAGCCATCATGCAGCAGACAGAGTCTTACCCTGAGGACACATATCCTCACATATAGGGTTCTACTATGTTGAAGAAGAGAAAAGGCCATACATTAAGCCTCATTCTTAACATCACACCCCTTTAGTTCAGCATCTGCGCATTGGATGCAGTTTTTCTGCAAGCTGAAAGCAGCATACATTGGACATTGTATTCTTAATAGGCCAAAAGTTGGAGAAGTTCTAGTTTGGACTATAACAGCCAGAATTGCCCAGCCATTGATCCAAAGGGGATTTTACAAGCTAAAATTCTGATTTTAAAATGTTTGGAGTATCTTATTAACAGCAGTCAAATATTTACCCTTCAGTATACCCCACAATGAATACGAGTTACACATAATAAGCTGCCAGTACACTTACTTGAGAAAGTATCAGTGTTGACGTGTGCCTGCCCTTCATTTCACCACCATAGTCCTCAGGATGACTGATCAAACTCCACTCATAATTATAAGCTGTTTCTAAAAAGGAGGAAGGAGCACAGCAATTGTTATTTTTTTTCCCTTTGCAAGAAGGGTTATCTTACTGATGCCATAGTTGTATGTCCAATATTTTAAAGTTGTCAACATTATTGAAACTTATTTTGCCCTTTTGTTCTTCCTTAGCTTTCCTGGTTCTTTCATTTTCAGCAAGTATGTTCATAAAGCTATTCATATTTATTTGTCTTGTAAACAGGAACGTTCGTGTTAGTCTCAAAACTTAGGAGTCAATACAAGTCAGGCCACCTGCCAACAATTATGCAGAGTTCCCTCATGGATGGTGGAATCTGTGTCAGGAGAAGGAGCAGGAAGACTAACCCTATCTAAAACTTTATTCTCATCTACTCTACATCGAACAAAATGCAGATTTTTATTTCATCGAGTTGCAAACCGGAATCTGATTTTGGCAGACCCAAAACTACTTGTGTGAGAGCTAGAAACTTTTCTGCCATCCTACTAACATGAAGAACTCACCTGAAAGTGATGGCATAACTACAGATGCATGTAATTCAACTTGATTTTTTGGCAAGGTGATTTGCAGATTATCTCCAGCTGATACCAGGAGTTTAGTTACTGCATAGATATAAGGGGAAGAAAAGCAGAAGGGGTGGCTGAATCTCAACTTTTATTATTAAGTCTGATGACTAGCATCTATAAGCATACTGAGTAAATCCTGGCAATAATCTTCTGCTACTGAAAAACATTATTACAGTATGACCCTGATTATCTCTGGGATATACAATCCTCAACTTCAGGAAAATGTAGATCTGCAGATAATAGTGAATCCTAATGAAGTTAACTATTTCCAGTAGAAGCATACCATAGAATCATGCTGAAAGACATAGAAAATATCCAGTGAAAATACCATTTTGAGGTCTTCCAGCACAACTCAATAGTGGAAGCATACCATATAATCATTCTGGAAAACCGAGAAAATGGTTAGAGATGACATTATTTTGAAAGTGAGTAGGTGAAATTTATAGTTCTAGTCCTATAAATACTGTAATAATAACCAGGGAGTTATGCTTCTTTATAAAGACTTAACAGTTTTCCCCCTGGAATCAGCAACTACAAAACTAACAACTGAAAAGCAGGACTTATTTATTTCTTTGATTTCACAGTTGTCTGTTACTCTACAACATAAAAAAAACTCTTCATCTGTAGCCATATGGCCCTACTCCTTGTATGTATTCTCTTGAATTAGGAGGTCCATAGTGGAACACTGGCTAGTTAGAGTACAACATCTGGGCCCTTTCACTATGTTTGAGCCAGCATTAACAAGAGGTTCACAATGGTTAATAGCTGATAAACATTTTCACCAACTTGTGTTCAAATACCCTCTAATAGCAACTTATGATCTTAAAAAACATCCATCTTGTCTTCTGTTCTCGTATATGGAGAATTTTACAAGAACAAGATGGCAGAGCTCTGGTGTAGTACCTCAGAAGGTAGACTATAAAAGTGAAAAAGTGAAATATAAAAACAACAGGACTGGATATCTTTGCAGTATTACCCATTTTTTTCCTCAAGACCTCATCCATAAAGAATTCAAATTACCTGCTTTGGTGGTAGTCGTGGCATATGATAATGCATCTGTAGAAAAAGGCTGAGTTGCAGGGGCACTGGTGGGAAATGATGTGGTTTCATCTTGTACATGATTACCTACATCTGATGTTTGAGTTTGTGCTGTTGTGATGGAGAGAGATCCTAGGATGTCTGAAGGAGGAGGATTATGGGAAGGTGTTAGAACCTACAAGATGAATTGCAGGAACACACAGTTACTGTGAATAGTTCTGATTGCCTTCTAATATGCAACATTAGAAATGTATTGGACAGCCAAGTCAAAAATTCTATTATAATCAGACCCAATAACAATACCAACAGGTATAAAAAAATGTCAATACCTAATATTTAAGTATCATGATAAAAAGATGTTTTTAACAACTGAATATAAGAATGATGAATCTACTGGAGATTAAGAAATAGACAGCCATGCAAGCCCTACAAAAATTCAATCTACAACAATGAATACAAGGGCAGAGATTCTAGATGACTAGTGCTCTAAGCATGCAGCTCTTTCGGCACATATATATGGTAGCATTAATGCAGTTTGACACTACTTTTAACTGTCATGCTTCAATGCTATGGAGTTCTGGGAGTTGTAGTTTGGCAAGGCACCAGCACTTTTTGGCAAAGATGGCCAAAGATCTTACAAACTACAACTACAGAAGAGATGACAAATATAAAAGCAGTTTATTCTGTATGACACTTTTTAGTATTTTGTACATGAAAGCCTTCAACAATACTTCGTACATTTTGTTTTAATTTTTTTTAACTAACTGTTAGGCCTTCAAGAGTGTAACAAAGGCAAAAAGCTCCACCATATGTAAAGCAGACAAGTGAAATAATAAAAACCAATGATATTGTTAAAGTTATAGCTAATGTTATAACTAATACCTGCATATTTTTGTCACGACAACCATTCAGATTATTCTAGGAAGCTAATAAACAGCACATAATTTTGACAAGTGGAGAGTGGCATCACAAGGAATATGCCGATGGATGGCTTCAAGATGGCTCTTCTACCATTAATATGGTAGTAGAATAACTGATCAAAAAATAACTAGGAACCAAACACTTAGTATTATTTTCAAGCCATACTCTTATTTTTATAATTCCAAAAAGCCAGGTTCTTATGTAAAGCAAAACACAAGCAAACAAACAACAAACCAGCAAACAATTCCTCTAGATTCAATTCTCCCCCCCCCCCCCCCCCCGCTTTATTTAGGAAAGTAACAAATCAATAAGTTTTCATTTAGAAACAATGCTAAGCTTTTGCTTCCTGTATAATTTAGTTGTTTCCAGTGCTTTCCGGTACATTTTGAAAGTACCTAACAACAAAGTGGAAGACAAGAATTTAAGACCTCTCTCTCTCTCTCTCTCTTTCTCTCGCTCACTCGCTCGCTCGGCGGCCATGGTCAATTATTTGAATATCTCTGTAATTCCAAGCCTGGGAAAACATTTATACACAGCTACTCTTTTTCCTTCCTCTATTTCTAACTCGTAGAAATCAGAATATCTTTACAAGATAGAACTGCCTCAGCCAGTTCAGAACTTGGGTTGAGGAAGCTGTGGTCCAGCAACATCTGGAATGTCTGAAAGTTTTCTTCACCCACTTTTGTTAAGCATTAAGCTATGGCTCCAACATTCGCTTAGGTCAGCTATGGGGAATGTGTGGCTCTCCAGGTGATGATGGAATGAATTCACATGATTCCCCAGGTACAGGATAGCATATACTAGAGATCGTGGGAGTTGTAGCACAAAATATGGAGAGCTCACAAGTTGCCTGTTTCTGCCTTTAAAGGCTTAAGAGCAGTGTGTCTCGACCTGGGGGTTGGGACCCCTGAGGGGGTCGTGAGGTGGTTTAAGAGGGGTTGCCAAAGACCATCAGAAAACACATATTTCTGATGGTCTGTAGAACCTCTTTAGCAGAGAAGGCTGGAGATCTTGTCGTCTGTCCATCTCTTCCTTTTTGGAAACAGAGGGCGAATTCTCCCACCAAGAGCTCTCCTCTGCTGTGATTGGCCAGCCTCTCAGCCAAGGGGAAGGCTATTTCTGAGACTCTGTGGAGAGGGAAGAGCAGGTGTGCTCAGTGCATAGCAGCATGGTGCGCATGTGCAGGTGAGGGAGTGTGTGCGAGGCTGGAGGGAGGTTCATGCCAGCCAAACCCTTCAAGACATGGATGTTCTGTGATGGAAGTTTGTCCCAATTCTATAGTTGGTGGGGCTCAGAATGCTCTTTGATTGTAGGTGAACTATAAATCCCAGCAACTACAACTCCCAAATGTCGAGGTCTATTTTCCCCAACTCCACCAATGTTCACATTTGGGCATATTGAGTATGTGTGCCAAGTTTGGTCCAGATCCATAATTGTTTGAGTCCATTGTGCTCTTTAGATGTAGATGAACTACAACTCCAAAACTCAAGGTCACTGACAACCAAACTTTTCCAGTATTTTCTGTTGATCATGGAAGTTCTGTGTGCCAAGTTTGGTTCAATTCCATCGTTGGTGGAGTTCAGAATGCTCTTTGATTGTAGGTGAACTATAAATCCCAACAACTACAACTCCCAGATGACAAAATCGATCCCCCACCCCTAAACCCCACAAGTATTCAAATTTGGGTATATCTGGTATTTCTGCCAAATTTGGGCCAGTGAATGAAAATACATCCTGCGTAGCAGATATTTACGTTACAATTCATAACAGTACCAAAATTACAGTTATGAAGTAGCAACCAAAATAATGTTATGGTTGGGGGTCACCACAACATGAGGAACTGTATTAAGGGGTCTCCGCATTAGGAAGGTTGAGAACCATTGCTTAAGAGGATGTTTAGTTTGGGAATGATAGCTATTAATAGGCAGATTAATCATAATGTTGCTTTCATTTAATATTGTGGGTTTACCAGAGCTGTAAAGAACCAGCTGTATCCGACTGATCATTATGGAAAACTGTAAATATGCTGAATTAGGTGGATCTTGAATCAGCATGGCTCTTTGTATTCTTAAACAGATTTATATCCTCATCCTTTTACTTCTGTAGGTATTTAATTGTGAGAAGCACGAAGAGAACATGAAAACGTCCTGTTGGGTCACAAGCAAGATGAAGTTAATGTTCCTTCCTATTTTACTGATAACCTGAATATAAGCATTGGGACGACAAAATTCCTTTTGTTTTAAATTTTCACACATTTCTGTCATGCTTCAAGCTAAACAAACAAACTAATACTGTTAGCATGCATACCTCTTCCTGCCAGGTGTTGTTGGCTTCATTGGAGTGTTGGATACCCAATTCATTGACAGATTCCTCCATAAGGTCTAAAGTAACCTCTGGCAATTGTCCGGGATGTTCAGTGGCAGGATTTCTTTCAGATTCATCTATGTTAGCTGGCTTTTCCAAAGGTGTCTTCTCTTCCTCATTTTCTGCCAACTCTTCATGCTTGTCTCCATGACTGAGCCCTGAAGCATTGATGCCATTTTCGGTGTTCCCCCTTAAGCCCCAGTCTGCATAGTTCAGGCCCTCCTTCGCTTCATGCTTGAAACTCAACTGAAAGGGGAGCTGCTCCACCTCGCCATATTCCTCTGAGTAGTCTTCAAGACTGTGCTCTTTGCTGAGAAAAGACAGTTCTTTCAAATTACTAATATCCTCTGAGGTCTCACCTTGCAATACCATAGAGTGGATCAGATTTGATGGCATCTGCTCGTACTCCAGCAATGAAGGGGACCTCTGGGGAAGCCGCAGCACAAAGGTCAAATAGGACTTCACCTTGCCCATTTTCTTGGGCTCACAGTTCCCCTTGTGTTGGCAGCTGACAATGTAGCAATGCCCCTCAAACATCCAGGACAAGTCGCAGTCAGAAAGGTCACAACAGGCTGCGGAGCAGTCTGACATTGACACAGCATGGGGGACCCGCATAATTTTCGCTGTTTCTAAATTGGGAGATATGATTGCATCGGAGTACTTGGCGCCTTCCCTGCACTCCTCACAGAAATACCCTGAAAATAATAGGCACAGGTATCAAGAAGAGAAAAGCAGCTTTAATCCCACAGAACCCATACATTCCTTATTAAAATAACAGTTTTTTTATTTATATGTTTATAAGCATTGGATTGAAAGGAAACATAAATGAAATTGCTCTGGTAAACCATGTCCTCTTTAAAAACAGTAGCCTCAAATAACAAGGAATGCGAATCAGAATAGTTTTTAGCTGGTTTTCAGCCTTCCTCCACCATTACAGTGGACTCTCAGCATTCGCTGAGGACATCCCATAGATATGAAAATCTGTAGGTGCTCAAGTATCATTATTTACAGTTATGTAGTAATATGGTGTGCTTTATATAAAATGGGCTGCAGTAGCATAGCGGGTTAAATCGCTAGCTGCAGAAAATCTACTGACTGGAGGGTTAGCAGTTTGAAGCTGTGAGTCGAGGTGAGCTCCTGGCTGTCAGCCCTAGCTTCAGCCTACCTAACAGTTTGAAAGCATGTAGTGTGAGTAGATCTATAACTACTGCCTTAGTGGGGAGGTAAAAGGGCGCCCCATGCAGACATGTTGACAACACGATCAGAGAAGTCTATGGACAACACGCTCCTTGTCATGGAAAGATTGAACAAGAGCGCCTCCCCATGGCTGAGATGAGCATCACCTCAAGATGTCGGAAATGGAAGGGGAAGGCCTTTTCCTCTGTCTGTGCAATATATGTCATTATTTACTGTGTAAAAAGGCATTGAATGTTTGCCTTATGTATGTAAAACTAATTCGCTCTGAGTTCCTCTGGGGAGATAAAGCAGAAAATAAATAAAGTGAATTATTATTATTATTATTATTATTATTATTATTATTATTAAAATGGCAAAATCAAACTTTGCCTTTTGAATGATTTTTTTTTTCAGGACAGGATATTTTCAAACTATGGAGGGTTGAATCTGTGAGTGAAGATCCATGGATACAGAGGGCTTGCTATATAGGAGAGCTTTGGAGGATTTGGTATGAGCCATTCCTTTTTTGTGTGTGTCAGTAGCAACTTGAAAAACTGCAAGTCGCTTCTGGTGTGAGATAATTGACCATCTGCAAGGATGTTGCCCAGGGGATGCCCGGATGTTTTATCCTTGTGGGAGGCTTCTTTCAAGTCACCACATGAAAAGGTGGAGCTGACATAGGGAGCTCAATCCACTCTCCCCAGATTCGAACTGCTGGCCTGTCAGTCATCAGTCCTGCCAGCACAAGGGCTTAACCCATTGTGCCACCGGGGGTTCCTTTGAGCCAATCCAGGAAGCCTCTGACATTGTACCAAATTTGAAGGATTTTGTCGTCGTTGTCTCCCCCCCCCTCCATTTGTGAGTGGGAAGTGGGGAGGATCAAGAGCATACAAAATCCTCAGAGTGGCAGTTTCCACCCCGAGTTTAATGACTTCTTACAACAACAACATCCTTTTTGTAGAGGGGAAAAACATTTTGTTCACAGGGACACAAATCCTTTCTAACAACTCCTGTTATATCTGTCACAATCGTCTACAGCTCAGAAGCAGCCCTAGGATAAACACTGATTCATATCTTTCTCCTCATCACCACCAACAGTATATAATTGTTTCCTTCACAGTACCATGTACTCTGGGGAGATGGAAAATGAGAACGAGGGGAAGAGGAGAGGGGCATTTAAGAGTTATGAAAGCGCCACTACAAATCATACCTTGAACATACAGCTCCTTGCAACTAGCAGGCTGTAAACATTTATATTCTAAGAGAGTATGAAGAATAGAAGCGGCACTCTCCGTATATTTCAAGTGATATATCATCATATCCAAAAAAATTATATTCTCTCTTTCTCTTTTTTGGTTTGCCACAGATTTTAGAAGTAGTAAATGAGCTGACTAAGCAAGGCAGCCTGCTGAGCCATTGGAAAAAAGGGAACTGTATCTTGCTTGCAAAAAAATCATGAAGCATACGCACAAGGCGCTTCTATAAGTCAAGAAAATCCCATTTGACCCAGGTGCTGACAAAGAATAAAACGCCTGCTGTTTCCTTCTAGGCAAGATAGCCTGCAAAAGTATGGACTGAAATATAATATAAAAACTAAGAGCCAATATGCTGTACGATGCTTTTTTAATTATTTTTTTAATACTGTTATGTGTGTCTTGGTTTTGTATTTGTGAGTTTAGGTGTCAATTCTTCCTCAAAATCAGGTTCCTTCACCCTAAAATCAGATTGAGCAAGGCTGCATCCATACTGCAGAATTATAACAGTTCGACACTACATTAACTGCTTATCTGGATCAGCCTGTTATTCTGCAATAGGTCAAGAATTCTTGCTCCCAATTGATAAACAATATAATAATATATCTCCATATTTTAGAACCACTACCAAAACAGAGATAATTTGGATCCAAAAACCAAGACTGGATTATGTGTAGAAGTACCATGAATTCTGTTAGGTTCCATTTGATCCGATTCCTGGCATCAGAATTCTGCAGTTCTAAGTGCCTGCCTTTTGAGCCAGCCTGAGAAAGTCAATTTGGATCTAGTGCCTTAAAGGCATTTAAATCCTGGTACGAATTGAAAAAAAATTCCATAATGACCCTGCCAAAAAAAATATGACTGCTTCTAGTACAGTACAAAATTTGTAGTATCTCAGGGGTTCTTCCCCCCAGTAATTATCTGGGCAAAAAGGAAGATGAGGGAGGGGGGGGGGAGGGAGCAAGCAATAGATTTGGCAGTATCTAAGTTTGCCTCTGGAGACATCAACCTCATCCAATGGGGTCCAAGTCATTATCAGTGCATTACTACCACCCCTATTATGAAAGTTCTACTGGAGATAAAAGGTTTATGCTTCTATTATACATCAAATGTTTGACCTACACACAATTGTCAGTCACAGATTTTTAAACATCCAAGCACTGAAAGTGCTAAAGATTTGTAAACCAATTTCTGGCAAATGCTTATCACAGACAACTTCTGAAAGGGTTTATGAAAATCTTTCCCTCAGAAGAGTCAGGAATTAATCTAAGTCAGAACATTCTGCTATAAGCTCCTGTGCATAAATGAGCTATGATTTTGAGTATGATTTAGTTCTCTGTATGGGTTATTTTCTTGTTATAAATATACGCATCTTCCTCTTCCCTTATGTACTGCAAGTAATTTTGGGGAGTGACAGAGGGCAGATTCATTGACCCCTTATTCCAGGGCATATCCAGTGTGGTGTATGCCAAATAAAGCCCTGTATGGTTTCAGCCACTACTACTTCCCCTGTTGCTACAGAGGTGGGAAGTAGACCTGGTGAGTTGTCAACGTTGTTTAGTGCTATCAGCCAGCCACCCTTACCATCCGTGCTTGTTAAGACTGCCTGTGGGCATGACATGCTGGTCACTCATCTTTTGGAGACGTTGGCTGGTGCACCAGTGACGAGAGAGTGAGAGAGTATTCACCCCCTTCTGTCCACCCTCCCTTCCTTGATGGCCTGAAAAGGTGGTTCGTCAATCATCACTCCAGGCAAGATCAACCAACAAGACCCATGCCACACCCACTGGTTGCTGGGACAAGGAGAAGGAGAGGGACCAGTGAGTGCCATCCCATGTTCCTGAGCCTCCCGAGTCCAGCAGCCACAGGGTGCCTGTGCAAACAGTTGTGACTGATTCCATCTCAGAAGCAGCCCAGCTATTTACAAGGGTCCAAAGTTGCGGGTTGTTCCAGATTCTGGGGCAGAATTCGGAGCAACTCTGGAGTTTGGTAAACACAGTTCAAGGCCACATTGAGCAACTTTGCCCCACTTTAACCAGAATCAGCTCCATCTGGCGACTAGCCAAAATGCCTGCTGTTTCCTTCTAGGCAAGATTCAGTCAACCTTCGGGCTAAGTAGTCACTGCAGATGTGCTCAGGGTAACAGGGAGGAAAATATTAATTAAGAAGAAGTTCAAGGGTGTGGTCACACTCAGCAATTTTCCATAGAAAATGCATGAAATATTGTCTGTTGATTTGGATGAAGACAATTTGGAGCAATTCAGGTACAAGATGCTAAAAAGTGATATTTTTGCTGAGTACATTTGCTTGAATCCAGAAACCTATCGTTTTATTATATCATGCTCATCATAGGTTCCTTCCAGTGCTATTCCCCACATAGCACTGGAAGGAACCTAAGGGCCCTTTCACAGAGTCATATAACCCAAGGTCCTTCCACACAGCCATATAACCCAAAATATCAAGGCAGAAAATCCCACAATATCTGCTTTGAACTGGGTTATGTCAAGCCACACTGCCATCTATTCCAGTTCAAAGCAGAAACTGGGGGATTTTATTCAGCTGTGTGGAAGGGGTCTAAGAGTTTATTAACTTTAAGTACAAATACAGGAGTGCAAACTTACCCGTGAGAGCCCCCAAGACTAAGCAGAAAGCTCCTAGTCTTCCTAGCTCAAGAGACATTTTTCCTGGAGCAGGTGATACAAATCCTGACTCTTGGAAGCAATGCAGAAACTTTGCAACCTTATTTAACTTTCTTCTGAGATTGTTCAATGTCCTGTTGGGGGCCTGAAGGGATGGAAAGATAAAAAAGCAGATTTGGTATCAATGTTAATTAGAATGTTATAGAGCATGCAGTAGGCAGGAGTGTACAATTACTTCCTGGAGACTGAATGAACTATGGAAAGAAACAATGAAGATGGAAAGACAAATTTGATGGTTCACTTTCACCTGTCCTCACAAATACAAGGGAGTCTATGCTGAAGAAATAATCACCAGATAAATAGGAGTATCCAGTTCATCTGCATTACCACTGCTGGGCTATAAGGATTGTTCTCACTATAGAACAGCTTCAAACAACAAGCATTTTCTTCACGTTTTTCTTTTTTGTGTTGGTTTAAATCCTTTATTAGTCACAACAGGCCCGTAGCCAGGATTTTGATTTGGGGGGTGGCTGAGTTTGATTCAGGGGGGGGGGTTCTGAGTCTGGGTGAAAGAGGGTCTACCTTAGCAAACATTTTGTATCGTTACCCCAATACCCCCATACATATGGGATATATTCAGAATGGTGATCAGATCATGATATTAATAAACGTAACAGTTTAAAAAAAGTAAGGCCTTTTCGCGAACCACCATGAGAATTTGGGGGGGGGGCTGAAGCCCCTCAAGCTCCCCCCCCGGCTACATGCCTGAGTTACAAGTAACTTAGATGGGTGTAATTAAAGTAAAAATAATTGGGGGGTTTTTGTCTATGGAAATGTTTAGAGATCTAGAGAAGCACTGTTTCTCCCAAATGCTTCAGCTGAAAATTGTAACCCTACCTGATCTCCAGGCAGTAGGGCTGGGCAGTTTCGTTTCGTAATTTCGTAATTCGTTAAAAATTCGTTATTTTTTTTTGTTACGAAGCGATAACGAACCATTCAGGAGCATCTAAAAAACGAAACGAATTTTTCAATTTGTTTCGTAATTGCTTCGTATTCGTTTCGAAATCGTTTCGAAATCGTTTCGTTATTATTTCCGCATGTCTGGGGCAAGTTTTATAGCTGTTGTTTGTTTAATCAGTGAAAAAAAATTATAAATATCACACCAACAGTCAACAACAGAGGGAGAGGGAAGCTTCAGAAGTTCCCCCTGTCCCATTTGGAGGTTTTTTAGCGTATTGCGCGGTCGCGTCCGCCATTAACGAATCGATTCGTATTTGTTTCGTATTGTTTCGTAATTTTACGAAATTCCGTAAATATCGAACTTTTTTAAAGAAAAATTTCGGAATTCTTTTAAATATTGAAACGCAAAAACCCCCAAAAAACGAATCGAGTTTAGAAACAATTTTTTCCGTGGTTGCCCAGCCCTACCAGGCAGGCCTATAGCGAGGGGGTGGTTTTAGGGGTTCAACCCCCCCGAAATGTTTCAGATTTTTTAAAAAAACCTGGTTTACTCATGAATTTTAACTGGTTAACCAAATCCCCATGCTAAGTCTATGAGATGCCAAAAATTAAGAGTCCCTCCAGAACTCTAAGCACTATCTCAAGCAAATATTGACAATTTATTCACACTGTCATTACTTGTAGCAATAGCCGATGTAGTGAAGCAACCAAGTTGGTGTTGCAATCCAGAGCAGAGAACGAGGCCTAAGATAACTATCCACCACACTTGGCTGTGAAAAACAATCCTTTTTTATTGAAGAAAAATGGTTACAAAATAAAGGAAAAATGCAAGTCAAAAGCCACAGCAAAATCAGCAAACATGAATTTAAATGGACAAAGCAAAACAAAAGCCTCTCTGAGAAATACTTGAATCTGTTAGCAATCCACTAACCGTACTTGATATCCTAGAAATCTTTCCAAACTATGGCCAGGGAACCGGGAGAACTGCCAAGGTCTTCATCAATTCTGAAACGATGCCTGAACTGAGGGAATCAGCCTGGCGTATTGCAATTAAAACTCAAGAATCGGTTCCGTGAACCGCCCTTCTGTCTTGAGGCCAATGTTTTTAATTCTTGAATTCGGGAGGATCGACGCAAACTGAGTGTTTTATTTCTGTCTTCCCAGATTTGGCTCCTTCTGTTGTCATTACAGTTAACAGGTGCAGAAGGGAGGGAAAGTTCAAGGTCTCCCTCTGCAACATTCTCATTAACACTGGTACTTTCATTTTCCAAATCTACAGAAGTTCCTTCCTCACTAATTTCAGGAACATTGGCATTTTCCAAACCTACAGCAGTTTCTTCCTCACTAATTTCAGGAGCATTGGCATCAAAAGGTACATTTCCACTAGCATCAGTAAATATACTTTCATTAGCATCAGGAGGAACAAACAGAGAATCAGGTTCAAGTTCAAACTCAGGCTGAACCCCAACAGTTGGGGGTGTGTGTGTTGAATGCTCTCATTAAGGAGGCCAGACTTGGTGGAGGTGGTTGACAGGGGTAGAGCTGCAGGCTATTGAAGGCTGCTCTGCCCCCTGCTGTGCTCTTTGCTTCAGCGTGAGCTAGGAGGCAGGTTTCACCCCCCCCCCCCACGAAATTTTCAACCCCCCCCCCCCCCCCCCCCCGAAACTTTTTTCTGGCTACGGCCCTGTCTCCAGGGTACATACAGAACAAAAATATGGAACATCTATTGTTTGTTAAGCCTAGTATTTGATATTCCATGATACCTATTTTATATATTTGGTAGAATCAAATGGCAAAGCTTCTTTGGGGCATACCTGTTGAGGTGAGGAAAAAAATATAGCTTGGTTTTCTTACTCTCACGCACGCACACAAACAAAGCACATGCTGGAAATCAGAGGGGGCAAGGAAAAAGAAGAGCGGGGAAAATAATTTGTTTTAAATTGTTGTAAGTCAACTTGAGTTCCATGCTAGGCAAAAGGTAGGGCATAAATTAAATAAATTAGTAAATGAAAAATGCAGTTTTCTGTTCAAGCACTACACTCCAGGGAAGATGTAATGCTTGGTAAAGAATGTACGAGTAAGATGTTTGTAAAATGAACCCTGGAAATAGGGAAGTATATAGAAATGGGAAGGCCCTTCCTCAGTGGTCAGCTTGGAAGCCGACTGGTAAACAAGGGATGGAGCACTTCATCACCTCTTTTGGCAGCCAGCTAAGTCACCTGGAAAGAATTCCACACACTCAGCTATGTGTAATTCCCAGTCACCTAAGGTGGCCAGGTTAATTATTAAACACAAGAATGAAATAGATCAATTAAAAAGAACACCTGAGTAGAAAGTGCAGTCAATGAAAACTGTCAGGAAATCAATACAATCTGCAGAAACACAAGCAAGTTGCTAAACACCTTGAAGAATAAAAAGATCTTAAAGTCTGAAACAATACTACTCAAAAGAAGTGGTTTCTAGACTAGTCCTGGGTGGATCTACACTCACCCATCCTGGGGCTGATCCTGAGGGCTGATCCAGCATATACCACACCAATCCAGATCAGTCCCAGGAATGGTTTTCACAGCCATAATCCCCCAGCCATTGTGAAGGAGTGAGGGAGTTCAAACTGGCCAGAGACATTGAACATGGTTTGGTGCCATCAGACAGCAACCCTTACTTTCTCCTCCTGTTGTCCATGTTGTGACAGTCTCCAGGCTGAGCCATTGACGGCTGGTCCCTGCCATGTTTCCAGGAAAGAAACAGCTGTATCAAATGGGCACAAATATAGTGCTAGGACACTGAAAAATAATAATTGCTGGTCCCTATATAGCTTGGGAAGCACTGGTCTAAGAGATAATAATGAAACCCAGGTGATAGGGAGTATTCCATAAACTGGAGCTACCAGGTTGAAGATACCTATCCAAAATGCAAATATTCCAAAGACCCAAGCCTTACACAAAAAATCATTTATGATTCTTATAATCTGAAAGCAAGTTTATAAACTTTTATTTATAATACTTTTCTTGTTTTGTGCATGAAACAAAATTTGTATATGTTGAACCATCTAAAAAATATATGTGTCAAAATCTCAGTCATTCATGTGGACATTTTGACTTTTGAAACAATTTGGATTATGATAATGGATATTCAGCCTGTACTAAACTAGCAGGTCTCTTATTATATTCAAGTGCCTGGCCAGCTAAATGGACATGCTCCAAATTATCAGTATCTGGATAATAATTTGAAAAAATGATGCTTCATTAAAAGTCTACCTTGCAACAGTTGCTGAATCAAATGTCTGTGTTAACAATTGCGGAATCTATCATTAGAAGCAAGGAAGTTGTAAAGGTGAAGAGGTTTTGAATGGTTGCATGGTTCCAAAAGCCAATTGCACTAAAAGCCAATGAAGAGTATAATTGCTCTGGTGAGATATTAAATTGCCATTATCAAAAGGAGGAATTATATTATCTTGTGACACACACATTAAACAGAAACAGGCCCTTCATTGTTCAGCAAAACCTGATGCTTTTGAAGTCTTCCAGTTTCAAATGCATTTCCAAGGGTTACTTAACACTCATAAAAGCAGACTGTGGATCAGCGGCCAAATGAAATACATGCATTCTTGACACTTTTAAGACCTAATTGCCAGAAAGAAGAAACAGCAGGATTTTACCTTTACTGTGTGGTTGTTTCTAAAGACAACAGAAATTGTCTCTTTTATTGTATCTTTCTTAGCTACTCTCATTTGTAGAATGAGCCAGAGCAATGAGTCAGTGGGTTAAATCCTTGTGCTGGCAGGAATCCGGGGAGAGTGGGTTGAGCTCCTTTTGTCAGCTCCAGCTCCCCATGCAGGGATATGAGAGAAGCCTCTCCCAAGGATGATAAAACATTAAACAGCTGGGCGTCCCCTGGGCAACGTCCTTGCAGACGGCCAATTCTCTCACACCAAAAGCAACTTGCAGTTTCTCAAGTCACTCCTGACCCGACCAAAAAAAAAATCCCTGCTATTAGTATGAGATATTTCAAAAATAAAGGGATTATAAAGTTTCAGGGCTCCTCCTTAGATACACAGGTCTGCAGGGATGTATCAATATCTAGTAGTTTTATTGACTTAAGCATTTGTTTTCATTGCATTTTGAGAATTGCTTTTCTCAAGCAAATCACACAATCGAGAAAAGCCTTCTCCAACCAATTGTTCTCCCTTTGTTTTACATCCTATCAATGCAAATATTAAACAGGCAAGCTGATGAAAGTTGCATGACAAATCAAGAGAGCATGTTCTTGGGAAATATTGATCTAGTTCCAGAATGGGATCTCTAAATGCAAGGTGCAGACTCTTACTGACACTAAGAGGCTTTTGCTCTGGTTTGTGCATGGATGGGAAATTGCCTGGGCATCCTATGCATAGCCGACATGCTGACTAGTTGAAGAAGTAAAAAAAAACTGGTCTAATCCTTTCCTTTGGCTGATTTCTGCCCTTCCTAAAGCTACCAACAAAAGTCACCAGAATAAATAAATAAATAACCCTCCACTATACTTAAATCCTGCTACACACTGTCTGCTGAATGTTGCAACCAAGAAGTTAGTACTTATGTTTGCTTTCCCTACATCTCTACTAATCAGGGTGGGCATAATGTAATTCTAGATCAGGGGTTCTCAAAGTGTGCTCCAGGGAGCCCTTGGGACTCTGCAAAGCATATTGTAGGGCTCTGCAGTTTCCTCCTCCTCCTCACTCCAAGCTGTCCCTCTCTTTCCTGTCCCTATCCCGCCTTGCTTGCCACCAAAAGCCTTTTCCCCCCTCACTTTCTTCACCCCAAAATCCCTTTCCCTCACCTTGTTTGCTTCCAAAATCCTATTTCCCTCAGGGGGTACTTTGATTGTGCCTCTCCTGCACAGCAGAAGCATGACCAGCAAACTATGATGTGAAGATCTCATGGTGATACCATTTTAAAGGGCTGAAAGAGTATGACTTGCCTAAGGAAACTCATGCAGTTTCCAAGGCCAAGTGGGAAATTGAACCCTGGACTCTTCCCTGCCCTGAGCATTCACTTTTATGTTTAAATGAACATATTTTATCTATATGTTATGCATTTACTAGGTATGAGAGACATATCATATTCCATGAGGATATGAAGTATAAGTGTCTAATTCCATTAGCATTCTATCATTTATTTTTATTATATTTTTGTTATGTTCATTTCATTATTATGTTATTATTAAGCATTTTATTTGATGATATTGTTTGTTTTATATGTACTTTTGCTTTATTGTAACTGTTTGGGCTTGGCCTCATGTTAGCCGCCCCGAGTCCCTCCAGAGAGATGGTGGTGGGATACACATAAAGTTTACTATTATTATTAAGTGCTGAAAAGATAAATAAATGCATCCTAGAGCAAATCAAGCCTGGATTCTCCTTAGAAACCAAGATGGCTAAACTGAGACTGTCATACTTTGGGCATAGCATGAAAAGACAGGACTCACTAAAAAAAAAAAAAAACAGTGTCTGATGAAGTAGGAGGCAGTAGAACAAAAGGACAGCAGCATTACATATGGAGCAACACAATCAAACAAATCACAATCCTAAACCTGAGCAGAGCATCAATGTTGGATGACTTGGAAATTTCTCATTCATGGAGTCACCATAAGTCAAAGTCAACTTGGTGCCAGCTAACTACAATAATGGATAGGAACTAACCCCTTTTATGTCAGAGATGATACTGTGATCTCTTTATTTCTGCTATTGTGTGGATGCAATATAAATAAAAGGATTAAAATGTTTTCTATGCATAACACTAAGCATGTTTCATTTTTGAATGCTGTTAATATGATATGGATCAGAAGACTGAATATAAATTTTAATACAGATCAGCAGATGGGGTATTTAAAATGGAGAAAAAATTACGGTTGAGATTTTTGCTGTTCCAGTGTCAAAATATGATAAATTAAAACACAAAGACATATACAGTAACAATCCATCAAAAACATGTTAAGTATTTCTTTTGTAAATGATTGACATTGTAGTCCTACACCTGGGATCCTGAAGGCAGCGGGATTTATTTTCAAATCAAACTGTTAATTATGCTGGCAATCAATTGAGAATTATCGTATTGGTGTCTTTCATACACAGACACACAGATAGAGAGTAAGAACGTATTGTCAAAGACTTTCATGGCCGGAATCATTAGGTTGTTGTAGGCTTTTCAGGGTATATGGCCATGTTCTAGAAGCATTCTCTCCTGACATTTTGCCTGCATCTATGGCAGGCATCCTCAGAGGTTGTGAGGACCTCGTCAATTCAATTTTGGCCCGCTATTCTCATTCATTAGTGTCTTAATTCTTTTTAACCTGTTCTTCCCACAATATTATCAAGTGCAAGAGAAGGATATATCCATTTAATTATATATTCAGCTTACTGGTTCAAATATCTATGCAAGGAAAGACCCAAGATTTGGTGTGGATCTACACTGTAGAATGAATGTAGTTTGATACCACTGAAACTACCATGGCTCAGTGCTATAGAATCATAGAAGATGCAGTTTGGTGAAGCACCAGAATTCTTTCATAGAGAAGGCTAAAAGGCTTGTAAACCTCCTATGATCCCACAGCACTGAGTTGTGACAGTTAAAGTGGAGTCAAATTTATTTATTATTATTTATTGATTTACAGTATTTATATTCCGCCCTTTTCACCCCACAGGGGATTCAGGGTGGATCACAATGCACATGTACATGGCAAACATTCAATGCCATAGACACACAACATATATAGACAGATACACAGAGACTATTTAACTTTCTAGCTTCATGAGGCTATGCTTAGAATTCCAGCCACCGGGGGAGCTCTCACTTTACCATCCACTTGTGACACTGATGGAGTACTTCCTCATTCTTTTGCACCCTGCTGGAGAGTTTTATGGTGTTGTAAATTAGTTAAATTAGCCTCCCCGCATAAGCGGTACCTAAATTTCCTACTTGACAGATGCAACTGTCTTTCGGGCTGCAAAAGTCGACAGCAAGCTAGACAAATGGTCGGGAGCTTACTCCACTTCAGACTGGCTTCGAACTCATGACCTTTTGGTCAGTAGTGATTTTAATGCAGCTGACTCCCAGCCAGCTCGGTCCACTCATTTCACAGTGTAGAGCTGCCTTGGGCAAACTTTGGTCCACCAGGTGTTTTGGACTTCAGCTCCCACAATTCCTAACAGCCTCAGGCCCTTTCAGCTTAAGTGGCTGAGGGGGGAAAGGAAGGGGCCTGAGGCTGTTAGGAATTGTGGGAGTTGAAGTCCAAAACACCTGGAGGACCAAAGCTTGGCCCTGCCTGGTGTAGGAACACTCTTGGAAACAGAAGCAAACCAGCATCATTGGATGCACTGCACACAAACAAAATCCATCTTTTGCTATTAGAATCTCTGAAAACAACAGGTTGCAACACACAGCAAAGTATTACAAAGGTGCCATGCTTGATGTGTCCCTGTCCCTTGATCAAACACATCTCTTCTCTTAAGCCTTTCTCTAACTTGGTGTAAGCTCAGCAGGAGGGGAAAGCCATAAGTCTGGTTGCTCCTTGGGACATTGTGCTCTGTGTTGCTGCAAGACGAATGCGATTGCATTGATAAGGATTGATTATTGTCGGTCATGCTTCTAATGGTACCGTGTTTCGGAGAGAAAACTGTCAAGGTCTATATTGGGGAGACAGAGAGCAAGATGCACCAGGCGGCAGCCCTTTTGTCGCGCAAATAGGATGCAGCAAAGGCATTTGAAAAATAAATTGCTAAGCAACAAAAGGGAAGATGCACACATCCAAGCACAATTTGGGGCTGTGCAGGAGGAAGGGAGAAGTCTGACATGGCTAATAGCTTTTATATTATTGCATTTTCCAAAGGTTTGGATGAAGAGCTCAACCTGGAGGCGGCTGCAAAGCCAATCCCAATGTCTGGCAGAGCAAGGAGGGGAGGAGGGGAGGCAGGACCACATTATTTCCAAAAGAGAGCAAGAGAGAAAAAGAAAAAAACAAACGCATCTCCCAATATTTGCTGGATTTTATCCACCTCTAATCCTTGATCCCACCCTTAACCGTTTGGTAATCCCCCCCCCCCAAAAAAAAAAACCAGACAATACGCCACAAAATTCGCCACACCTCTCTGGTCCTCTGTTTTCTTACCTGGAGGCTGGAAATGGGGAGAGAAGAGGCGGATGGAGGAAGGAGGAGGAGAAGGAAAAGCCCTCTTTGCTAAGGCTAAACAAGAAAAACCCGGGTGGGCCGAGGCTTGAGTGGGTCCAACTGCCACCCTATAGCAAAAGGGTGAGCGATCAGTGTCTGTACGTCTCCTCCCCCGCCTCCCAAGGACTTCAATCAAATGCGTCGCTGTGCATCCTTCCTTCCCTGCACCTGGTTTCCAGCTCAGGCTCAGAGCATCTCTTCGCCGCCCAGAGGCGCTTCCCAGCCCCGCCGCTAGGGGCCGCTGCGGGGCTGCTTCGCCCGGCGCTCTGCAATGCATCGGAGGGGAAGAAGGACTACATCTGCACTGTGGAATTGAGGCAGTTTGACTCCACTTTAACCTCCATTGCTCAGTGCTACGGGAGCATGGGATTTTGTAGTTTTACAAGGTCTGAAGTGCCTTTGATGAGGTACCAACACTCTTTGACAGAGAGTAAAACTCCTACAATCCTATAGCATTAATAATAATAATAATAATAATAATAATAATAATAATAATAATAATAATAATAATAATAATAATTTTAAAAGTTACAGAAAATCAAACTCCTCTGGGACTTCGGAATTCAGACTGACAGAGTTCTGGAGCACAATACTCCTGACCTCACGATCGTGTTAAAAATAAAGTATGGTTCGTTGATGTTGCAATCCCAGGTGACAGCAAGATTGAAGAGAAACAACTGGAAAAGCTGACATGATATGAGGATTTAAAGATCGAACTGCAAAGACTCTGGCACAAGCCAGTCAAGGTGGTCCCAGTGGTGAATGGCACACTGGGTGCAGTGCCTAATGACCTTGGCCTGCACTTAAACACAATCGGCGCTGACAAAAAATTACCATCTGTCAGCTGCAGAAGGCCACCTTACTGGGATCTGCACGCATCATTTGCCGATACATCACAGAGTCCCTAGACACTTGGGAAGTGTTCGACATGTGATCCAATACAACAGCCGACAGAGTGATCTTGTCTGCTATGGACTCATCTTGTTGTTTTTCAAATAATAATGACGACGATGATGATGTTAGTTTTTCGGGCTGTAGGGTAATCTCACAGATTCCAACAGACCTCACAACCTCTGAGGATGCCTGCCATAGATGTAGGTGAAACCTCAGGAGATAATGCTTCTGGAACATGGGCATACAGCCTGGAAAACTTGCAGTAACCCAGTGATTCCGGCCACAAAAGCCCTCGACAATAATAATAATGTTTGTTTGTTTGTTTGCATGTTGGAAGTTGCTTCTGGTTGCTTCTTGTGTGAGAAAATCAGCCGTCTACAAAGATGTTACCTAGGGGATGCCTGGATGTGTTGAATTAAATCAAGAAGTAGTTTTCTAAGATCTACAGAGATACTCGCAGGAACACCTAAGCAAACTAGAGTCCAAAAGTGGCAGGGTAATTATTTATTTATTTATTTATTTCATTCACTTATACCCCACCCTTCTCACCCCTGGGGGGACTCAGGGCGGCTTACATAAAGGGCACAATTAGATGCCCAAACACATAACAAGTAATCCAAAAAGTATAAAATTCAACAGTTAAGTTAAAACAACAATACATAATAAAAGCATAAATCCTAAACACAATCCCATGTCAGAGTCCGTATATCAGAGTCCATACATCCGTTCTATCCGTTTGTCATTATCTATCGCCGGTCCTTGGTTTAATTATCAGATTGACCAAAGGCTTGGTCCCATATCCAGGTCTTTAGTTTTTTCCTAAATGCTAGGAGGGAAGTCGCCGATCTAATCTCCCCGGGGAGTGCGTTCCACAGGCGGGGGGCCGCCACTGAGAAGGCCCTGCTCCTCGTCCCCGCCAGCCTCACTTGCGATGCTGGCGGGGTCGAGAGCAGGGCCTCCCCAGAAGATCTTAAACTTCGAGGTGGGACGTAAAGGGAGATCCGTTCGGACAAGTACACTGGGCCAGAACCGTATAGGGTCTTATAGGTCAAAACCAGCACTTTAAATTGTGCTCGGAATTGGATCGGCAGCCAGTGGAGCTGGCGCAACAGGGGGGTGGTGTGCTCCCTGTACGCCGCCCCGGTGAGCAATCTGGCTGCTTCTCGCTGAACTAATTGAAGTTTCAGAGCAGTCTTTAAAGGCAACCCCACGTAGAGTGCGTTGCAGTAATCCAACCGGGATGTGACAAGAGCGTGGACCACCGTGGCCAGATCCGACTTCCCAAGGTACGGGCGCAGCTGGCGCACAAGTTTTAATTGTGCGAAAGCTCTCCCGGCCACCGCTGAGACCTGAGAATCCAGGCTCAGCGATGAATCCAGGATTACTCCCAAGCTGCGAACCTGCGTCTTCAGGGGGAGTGTAACCCCGTCTAACACAGGCTGTAACCCTATACCCTGTTCGGCCTTCCGACTGACCAGTAGGACCTCTGTCTTGTCTGGATTCAGTTTCAATTTGTTAGCTCTCATCCAGTCCGATACAGCAGCTAAACACCGGTTCAAGGTCTGGACAGCCTCCTTGGTGACAGGTGAGAAGGAGTGACAGATTTGGACATCATCTGCGTAGAGATAACATCTTAGTCCGAAACTCCGAATGATCTCTCCCAACGGCTTCATGTAGATGTTAAATAACATCGGGGACAGAATTGAACCCTGTGGGACTCCACACAACAACGGTTGTGGGGTCGAACAGGGGTCACCCAGTAACACCTTCTGGGTCCGTCCCTCAAGGAAGGATCGGAGCCACTGCAAAGCAGTGCCTCCGAGCCCCATATCCATGAGGCGACCCAGAAGGATACCGTGATCGACGGTATCGAAGGCCGCTGAGAGGTCCAGCAGAACCAACAGGGACACACTCCCCCTGGCTAGTTCCCTGCGCAGATCATCTACCAAGGCGACCAAGGCTGTCTCAGTTCCATGTCCCGGCCTAAAGCCAGACCATGCCATGGCTGATACCTAATGAGAGACTCCCCTGGGCACACAGAAGACTGGGTGACTTGGAAGGCACTGAACCGACTGCGCTCTAGCACCACGAGATGCAGAACCAATCTTAAGAAACGGGGCCACAAAGTGGAGTCCATGTAACAAAACAAACAAACAAACAAACCAAAAACCAGGAACAAAAATCATGTTGCAAAGTGTTGTTTTATTTCTGATTGAGACCAAAATTCCAGTCCCCCGCCTCAAGAAAGGAATCCCAGGGGATGTCCAGGGTGGGAGAAAGAACTCTTGTCTGTTTGAGGCAAGTTTGAATGTTGCAGTTGGCCACCTTGGTTAGCATTTAATGGCCTTGTAGCTTCAAAATCTGGCTGATTGCTGCCTGGTGGGGTCCTTTGTTGGAAGGTGTTAGCTGGCCCTAATTGCCTCAAGCTGACAAGAGTCCTTTCTCCTACCCTGGATATTCCACAGATCTATAAACCTCACATTCTGAGACATTCTGGGGGTCAGCGAACTGAAATGGACTGGAATGGGCCACTTCACATCAGATGACCACCACATCTACTACTGCGGACAAGAGGAACATCGAAGAAATGGAGTAGCCTTCATAATTAATAAGAAATTCTCTAAAGCGGTGCTTGGATACAACCCAAAAAATGACAGAATGATCTCAATTCGAGTGCAAGGAAAGCCTTTCAACATTACAGTGATCCAAATATCCGCCCCAACTGCTGAAGAAGCAGAAGTAGATCAGTTCTATGAGGAGCTGCAGGACCTACTGGATAATACACCAAAAAGAGACATTATTTTCATTACAGGAGACTGGAATGCCAAGGTGGGAAGTCAAATGACAACAGGGATCACAGGCAAGCATGGTCTGGGAGAACAAAATGAAGCGGGATGCAGGCTGATAGAATTTTGCCAGGAAAACTCGCTGTGTATAACGAATACTCTCTTCCAACAACCTAAAAGACGGCTTTATACATGGACCTCGCCAGATAGTCAACACCGAAATCAGATTGACTACATCCTTTGCAGCCAAAGGTGGCGGACATCCATCCAGTCGGTGAAAACAAGACCTGGGGCTGACTGTAGCTCAGATCACGAACTTCTTATTGCCCAATTTAGAATAAAACTAAAGAAATCAGGGAAAATACACAGACCAGTTAGATATGATCTCACTAACATTCCTAGCGAATATACAGTGGAAGTGAAGAACAGATTGGAAGGACTAGATTTAGTAAACAGAGTCCCAGAAGAACTATGGACAGAAGTCCGCGACATTGTTCAGGAGGCGGCAACAAAGTACGTTCCAAAGAAAAAGAAAACCAAGAAGGCAAAATGGTTGTCTGCTGAGACACTGGAAGTAGCCCAAGAAAAGAGGAAAGCAAAAGGAAACAGTGAAAAGGGGAGATATGCCCAGTTAAATGCGCAATTCCAGAGGTTAGCCAGAAGAGATAAGGAACTATTTTTAAATAAGCAATGCATGGACGTGGAAGAAGACAACAGAATAGGAAGGACAAGAGACCTCTTCCAGAAAATTAGAAACATTGGAGGTAAATTTCAGGCAAAAATTGGTATGATAAGAAACAAAGATGGCAGGGATCTAACAGAAGCTGAAGAGATCAAGAGAAGGTGGCGAGACTATACAGAAGATCTGTATAGGAAGGATAATAATATTGAGGATAGTTTTGACTGTGTGGTGAATGAATTAGAACCAGACATCCTGAGGAGTGAGGTTGAATGGGCCTTAAGAAGCATTGCTAACAACAAGGCAGCAGGAGACGACGGGATCCCAGCTGAACTGTTTAAAATCTTAAAAGATGATGCTGTCAAGGTGATGCATGCCATTTGCCAGCAAATATGGAAAACACAAGAATGGCCATCAGACTGGAAAAAAGCAACTTATATCCCCATACCAAAAAAGGGAAATGCGAAAGACTGCTCAAACTTCCGTACAGTGGCCCTTATTTCTCATGCCAGTAAGGTAATGCTCAAGATCCTGCAAGGAAGACTTAAGCAATACATGGAGCGAGAGTTGCCAGATGTTCAAGCTGGGTTTAGAAAAGGCAGAGGAACGAGAGACCAGATTGCCAATATCCGGATGCTGGCTAATGGAGAAAGGCAGGGAGTTTCAGAAAAACATCTATTTCTGCTTCATTGACTATTCTAAAGCCTTTGACTGTGTGGATCATAATAAATTGTGGCAAGTTCTTGGTGGGATGGGCATCCCAAGCCACCTTGTCTCTCTCCTGAGGAATCTGTACAAGGACCAAGTAGCAACAGTCAGAAATGACCACGGAACAACAGACTGGTTCAAGATTGG